TGGTAGTTACAAAATTCTTTTAGTAATTAAAAAATTCTTTTAGTAACTAAAAAACTTTTTTGGTAATTAAAAAATTTTTTTAGTTACTAAACAATTTTTTTATTAGTTAAAAAATTCTTTCAGTAACTAAGAAACTTTTTTAGTAATTAGAAAATTCTTTTAGTAACTAAAAAACTTTTCTAGCAATTAAAAAATTCTGTTTAGTAACTAAACAATTTTTTTTATTATTAAAAAAATTCTTTTAGTAACTAAAACACTTTTTAATAATTAAAAAATTCTTTTAGTAACTAGGAAACTTTTTTGATAATTAAAAAATTCTTTTAGTAACTAAAAAACTTTTCTGGCAATTAAAAAATTTTTTTAGTAACTAAATAATTTTTTTATTAGTTAAAAATTCTTTTAGGAACTAAAACACTTTTTTAATAATTAAAAAATTCTTTTAGTAACTAGGAAACTTTTTTAATACCTAATTAAAAAATTCTTTTAGTAACTAAACAATTTTTTTATTAGTTAAAAAATTCTTTTAGTAACTAAAAAACTTTTCTGGCAATTAAAAAATTCTATAAGTAACTAAACAATTTTTTTATTAGTTAAAAAATTCTTTTAGTAACTAAACAATTTTTTTATTAGTTAAAAAATTCTTTTAGTAACTTAAACATTTCTTTAATAATTAAAAAATTCTTTAAGTAACTAAAAACATTTTTTGGCAATTAAAAAATTCTTTTAGTAACTTAACAATTTGTTTAATAATATTAAAAAAAATTTTTAGTAAACAAAAAAGTTTTTCTACTGGTAATTGAAATAGATTTTTATTTATATTGGAAATTAGCGATTTTTCCCTATATTTTCTTTAATTCACACTGCACAATATTGATTGAAGAAAAAGCTCTGAATCACGTGGCAGTGCATGGATCTTATCTAATCTAATCGAGTCAATAAGAATTACGCGCTTTCTCTGAACGAGAACCAGTGAAGCAAGGGTTAAGGAGCGGTACCAAAATTCATTCAAGCGAAAACATCACAGATTGACCTAAAATAAGGAGCCATGAATCTACAACTGCAGATGCACTTGCATCTACGAGAGGAGACTTTTTCCAAACATTTTTCAACACTTTTCATGAATATTTCTTGATAAGATTCTTCAAGACATTTATTTTCATTTATTTTAATTTTCTTTCAATTTTCTTTCTTGTTTGAAGAAAAATGAAAAAGAGATGAAAATAAAAAAAGAGAAAAATGTTTCTTGAAAAAAGAAGAATTGTATTTTGCAATTAAGTAAAAAATGAAGCAAAAGATGGATTTTGTAAAAATATTTTCAAAGCAAGTAAAGATTTTTAGTTAACTACAAAATCGGAAAATTCTTTATTACGAAATTTGATTTTTTTTTGCTGCATTTATAATTCAGTTAATAATAAGAAAAATTATAATTTAATTAATTGTTAATTTTAATTACTTCATAATTTAAAAATTATAATTTAATTAATTATTAAACTTAATTAATCAAAAATTTAATAATTATTTAATTTAATTAATTTACAATCAAATAATTATTAAATTTAATTAATTTACAATTAAATAATTATTAAATTTAATTAATTTACAATTTAATAATTATTCAATTTATTTAATTGACAATGTAATAATAATTTAACAAAACGGAAGAAATAGAAAAAAATTCTCCCATATTCCTAATATAGGGAAACAATGTTTATTCTTGCCAATATTAAATGGAGAGAAAAAGAAGACGAAAAGGAAGAAATACAAAAAAAAAACATTTAATTGGATTTCGTAATCGCGCAATTAAAGCGAAATTTGCGAAATATGAGTTATTCCCTGAACGAGATGTTCGTTTTCGTAAAAGCAGAAACATGCTTCTTTGCTGTTGTGCGTCTTCGATTGTGATATACGCGATTCACCGACGCGAAGAGGAAGAAGGAAGCATGCTAATTTCCATCCTCGGCTCGTACCGACAACGAGAGTTTTCTAACCAATTGATTCGGTCTGATTATCGAACGTAAACCTATTCCCTATGCGCCAGTGTCATCTACCTCTTGTATATATAAATAATTATCAAATTTACCATTTTTTTCGTCGGTTTTCAATATCGAAAATTTATCGTCTGAATTTTCAATTAACCAAAAATGACTATAGAAATATTATTGTAATTAAACTAGTTGTTTTAATTAATTATTACTAATAATAATTATTATTTTTATTATTATTATTATTATTACAGGCCTCGGACGTGGAACGCTCAGCACGAGATAAAAGTATTTATTTAAAACAAACCTGGCGCATCAAAATATGTTTTAATTTACCGAATTAATTTTTTGTTCAATTAAATTAACTGAAAAGATTAATTGAAATGAAAAGTAGTAAAAATAATAAATAAATAAAAATAATAAAAGTAAAATAATAAATAAAAATAAAATAATAAAAGTAAAATAAAAAATATTATAAACTCTAAATTTGAATAAGTGAAAATGTTTACTAATTTGAATTAGTTACTGACTTTTTGCTTTTGAATTGGTAAATTTAATGAATGATTTAGTGGAAATTACTATTTAGTACAATATGGAGACGCTACTCTCCGCCTGCGAACGCCGAGGTCACCGCTAGATGGCAGTTGAGTTGTTTCTTGGAATTTCTCTTGCCATCTGGTGGTGACCTCGGCGTTCTCAAATGGAGAAATTCATTTCTCAAAATTTTTTTTTATAATTGAATATGATAAAAAAAAGTAGTAAAAACAGAATAAACAAATTTTTTTGGGTATTATAATTACGATTGCATAAAAAAATTTTGTGTTTGAGAATACGTACAAGCGGAAAAGGAAGAATCCCTACAAGTTTAAACATTTCTGTCTAGCATGCAATGATTATAATAATATTCTTATATTATGCATATATATATAAAGAAAAAGAAATTATTATTATTGATATTCTAGTCGTACACAAGTGAAAGCATTTTTCTATGTATACAATATTTATGCTAGCCGGAATATTTAAATTTGTTCACTCAATGATAATAATTATTATTATCTTGCATAAGAAAAGCATGCGTGCTTGAAGAGAAAAAAAAGAACGGACATAATCAGGAATCTCTATCTTCCGTTCCAGGAGCAATTACAATGACATTATCGAAAGTGCACACAGCACGAACTTGAGAGAAATTAGATCACGAAAAATGATGAGAATATAAGATATGGAAAAAAAGGAACTTCAATAATTCATTAATTAAGGCGTAGTAAATTTTGTATAGAGAAAGAGAGAGAGAGACGAGGAAAGAATAGAATAAAGGAAATAAAAAAAGTCAATTGCGGGAAAAAAACTTTTTATCAACACGATAATATTAAGTTAGAAATATACGATTTTCTTATCGGTTCAATTTTGTATAGAGAGAACTTTCAATCAATTGAATTAAAAAAAGGAAATAAAAAAAAATTCCCGTTGAATTTTGTTTGGATTTTAATAGTCTAAATCAGTAAGTGAATTAATAAACAAATAAGTAAATAAATAAGTAAATAAAGAAATAAATAAGTAACTAAATAAGTAAATAAATAAGTAAATAAATAAACAAATAAGTAAATGAATAAGTAAATAAAGAAATAAACAAATAAGTAAAAAAATAAGTAAATAAATAAATGAGTAAATAAATAAATAAGCAAATAAATAAAATAAATAAACAAATAAGTAAATGAATAAGTAAATAAAGAAATAAATAAAGAAATAAATAAATAAGTAAATGAGTAAATAAATAAATAAGCAAATAAATAAACAAATAAATAAACAAATAAGTAAATTTATGAGTAAATAAGTAAATTAATAAATAATAATTAAATAAATGAACAAAGAAATAAGTCAATAAATAACAATAATAATAATAATTAAAATTATCAAAAAGTTTAACAAAATTCCACTAACGAATTATTAATTTTTCTTTTGTAAAAAAAGAACCGAAAGGTTCTTCTATCTATGGAAAATATATTTATAAAAATTCTAAATTTTAATATTTTACTTATAATAATGATAATAATAATATAATAATAGTAATAGTTAAATTCTCTTTAAAATATTTTTACACGATTTTTGTAATTAATTTTTTTTACTGCATTTATAATTCAGTAATTATGATAATTAATTGTAAAAAAACAATTATTCTCAATATTTAAAAATTCGATATAAAAACGGGATATTATTTTCACTGTTATTTTTCTTTTTCACTTTTTCGATTCACTAAATTTGGTGAATGGTATAGCACAGAACTATTGAATCACAAACTATTATAGAAACAATATTTGAATCACATTCTTGTTAATAATATTTTTCATTAATATTTAAAGTCTCTATAATTTATATAAAGTTATTTTGTGGAAATTAATTGAATAAAATTAATTTCCAAAATTTGTATAAAATTATTTTCAATAAAAATAAATTTCTACTCTCTAAATTTGAATTAGTAAAAATATTCATTAATTTGAATTAGTGATTGACTTTTTGCTTTTGAATCAGTAAACTTTACTAATAAATTGTAATTGCTGCTAATTTATTAGTAAAATTTACTAGTTCAAAAGCAAAAAGTCTGTCTACAAAATTAATTACAATAAAAAATAATTTCTATAAAATTAATCACAATAGAAAATAATTTCTATAAAAATAATTACAATAAAAAATAGTTCCTATAAAATTAATAACAATGAAAAATAATTTCTATAAAATTAATTACAATAAAAATTAATTTCAATAGAATTATTTCCAAGAAAATTAATTTCTATAAAATTAATTACAGTAAAAATTAATTTCAATAGAATTATTTCCAATAAAATTAATTTCTATAAAATTAATTACAATAAAAATTAAATTCAATAGAATTATTTTCAATAAAATTAATTTCTATAAAATTAATTACAGTAAAAATGAATTTCAATAAATTTATAGAGTAAAAAACTGTTTAGAAAGCGACATAGAATTCAGTTGGCGTGGCTAAAAAAAATCCATAAACACATTTTTCTCCTGAAAGAACACAATTTTCGTTGTTAAAAACCTTACAATTTTTTGTTTTTTGTTTAACGAAACACATTGCGGAAAGAAGTTTGTGCCGCATTCGCGAGAGTCACGGCGCAAAGACTGGATAACGATGGGTCCTTTCGCGTATCGTGAACACGCTTTGGGGATGGAGTAAAGTAAAGTGGGGGCGGTTGACTTTGGAGTGGCAATGCGACCGTGAGTGAAGGGACAAGAGAGGGTAAAAAAAACGATCGAGGGTCGGACCTGAAAACTTTGCAGTAACGGTCTCTTATACTTTTCCATATACACCTCTGCCAGCTGTTTTCTTTCATTACTTATATTATATTGAACGATTTTTTTTCAAATTTTTTTAATCAATTTTCAATCGTTTTCTAATTTTGTTTGTAGAAAAAAACTTTTATTACCAATTAGGTTCACTAACGAGTTTTTTTTTTTTTTGTTAAATTCCTCTCTCGTCAATCAATCAAAATTTATCGTACTAATTGTTTTCTTATTTATTTATTCACATCATTTACTTCATTAGTTTTATGAAAATTTATTGCGTTGTAATTAAAAAATTTAACGAACGAAATGAGCAAAATTGTTTTAAATTATCATTAGTTAGGGAAAATATTTATTTTTTCGAAATATTTATTCGTTACAAATATTCTTTTGTGAAAATATTTATTTGTTATAAGTATTTATTGTTTACGAATATTTTTTTACATGAATTTATTTGTTAGAAATAATTGTTATATATATTTTTTATACTAATTTATTTATTAAAAAAATATTATTATTTCTTACAAATATTTGTTAAAGATATTTGTTATAAATATTTTTTATACGAACTTATTTATCACAAATATTACTATTTCTTACAAATATTTGTTGTTAGAAATATTTGTTAAAAATATTTTTTTACAAATGTTTTATTATTACAAATATTTATTTATTAAAAATATTTATTCCTTACAAATATTTATTCTTCACAAATATTTGTTGTTATAAATATAAGTAACAAATATTATTTTTTTGAAATAATTATTTGTTATAAATTTTTATTCCTTACAAATATTTGTTGATAGAAATATTTATTACCAATGTTTGTTTTTGGAAATATTTATGTGTTGAAAATATTTGTTGTTAAAAATGTTAATTACAAAATTTGTTAGAAATATTTGTTAAAAATTTTTTACACTAATTCATTTATAACAAATATTTTGTTTTGTAAATATTTTTTTTTATAAATATTTATTTTTTACAAATATTTTTTGATTGAAATATTTATTTGTTACAAATTTATATTGTTTTTAAAAATATTAATTTATTGGAAAAATATTTCCTTCGACAAATGATAGTTAAATTGAAATTGGAATTGTTTAATTTTTTTAACGAAAGCAAAAATTCTTTCAACTCGATAGAAAATAATTTTCTTCACGGTTATAAATGAGGAGGATTCGCATAATTTGACATTTCATCAGTGTCAGTTTTCTATAGGTTTGTTATTTACGTGACATTTGTGTTGTATTTATGGCGGAAATCAACTTCCAAGCATTTCGCCACGCAGACTGAACAGCACCATATAGTTTTATTTAGTCAATTCAGAAAAATTCATGCTAGATAACTTTTAACTTCAGGGAATCACAAAGTTGGAAAAAAAAGAATTTTAATATTCATTTGGAGAAAAAAAATTTCATTTTTATTCAAGATTAATTTATTTGATTAAAAAAATTATTTTTTTCTAGAAAATATTATTGAATTTTACAACATTCAAATAAATTATTAATTTAATTAAATAAATAATTAAATAAATATTTAATTAAATATTTAATTAAATAATTAATTAAATAAAAGTATAAAACAAATTTTTCTTTTGCTTTTAAAATTGTTTATAGAAAATTATAAAAATTAGTTGAAATGAAGAAATTTTGAAACTATGATTAAAATTCTGTAACAAATTCCTTCTTTAACGAAAAATTGAGGTTTATTATTTAACTTTATTGCTGAAGCACATATATGCCATAAAAATTCGAACCAAGAAACGGGACTGCCTTTGACGACTCATGATTGTTATGTTGGGAGAAAAATCTTGAGGAGTGCCACAAAGATGAGTGAGGAGTCGAAAGATGAGAAACAAATAGAAATAAGAAATGAAGGGTATATAGTGACTGTTTAGACAGATAATAAACGAGAAAGAAAAGAAAATAAATAAAAACCGGTATTTGCGGGGAAAAAATCGATTTATTTTTAAATTCAACTTTTTTTTGCTTAACTTTTCAGTTGCGTCTCAATAGCTTTGGAATTTTTAATTTCCATTTGAATATAAGAGAATTTTTTTATTTTTTTGGTCCTTAGTTCTGAAAGTATTTTTTTTTAATTAAAAATTAAATTTTCATATTTCTTTCGATTGAAAATTAATTTTTCTCTTATTCAAAAAAAATTTATTTGGTTTAATAACAATTTATTTGATTTAAAAAACAATTTATTTGTTTCAAAAAAATTTTCTTTTTTATATTAAATAATTATTTAATTGGCTCTATTTTAATAGTTACATTTTTTTGATTTAAAGAAAAAATGTTTTGGATTAAAAGAAAATTTGTTTAAATCGAAGAAAAGTTGTTTGAATCAAAAAAGTTTTCTTTGAATCAAATTTTTCGCTGAATAAAGAAAACTTTTGTTTTGTTTCAAAAACGTTTTTGAAAAAATTGAGAACAGAATTTTTTTTTGATATTTCATTTGAATATAAAATTTTCTTCAATGTCTATTTTTTCGATATCTAAAGTTATTTCCGTCACATGACTAAGACAATGTTTTCGAGAAACCGTGTCTGAGCAACCGAAATTAAATCAATAAAACTATTAGAAACACGAAACACGAGCCAAATTATTGAAATCTTAGTGAAATTAAAAAAATTTACAACCTTTAAATTATAGGAAAAAATTTATGACTTTGAAAATCGTTGGAAATAATTTAATTTTTTACTCAGAATTTTTCTCCACTTGAAAATTAGTTAATAAGTTTAAATAGTTAAAAATAGTTAATTTTTAATAATTAAATAATTAATTAATTTAATAATACTAATTAATTATTATTAATTATTATAATTAATTATCAAAGTAGTAAATTAAAATTTTTAATATTGTCAAAATAGTTGTTAAAATTTTTAAGCATCAAAATAGTTAATTAACAGAATTATTAATTAAAATTTTCAATGTCCAGTTTTATTAATTAGAGAAAGATAAATTAAAGACCCCGCGAGTAAAATTGTATATAATAAAAATTGTAAAGAAATTATCCAACAAATTGCTATTGATAATAATTGACTGTAATTTTCGATCAGTTGTATAATAATTAACGTCTGATTCATTAAAACAAAGTATCTTTGGATTTGCAAACTGCTAGTGTAATTTGTTTACAAAAGAAAGAAAAAAGGAAAGAAAAAAAAGAGGAAAGTTTAAATTTTCTATCATTTCCTACAGTTACTCAAGCGGTTTTCTCGCTCGAAAGGAGATGAACAGTCGGTCATAAATTGGCAAATTCTTTACGTAAGAAAACTTCCAAACCTTCGTTTTTAAATTTGCAAATAAATTTCCCTGGTAAAAATTATTTAAATTTCCAAGTATATACTTATTTATGTAACTTATAAAAAATTGATAACTAAAAAAGAAAAGTAATTATGCATAGTAAGTTTTTATTTATCTTTTTATTCGATATTGTATTTATTTATTTATTGAAAATTTAATTAAATTTGCAATTAATTAAAATAATTAAATACATTAAATTAATTTATTATTATTATTATTATTATTATTATTATTATTATTATTATTATTATTATTATTATTATTATTATTATTTATTGTTTATTATTTATTTATTATTATTTATATTTATTTATATAAATAATCTAAATTAAATATTTACAAGTGAATTTAAATTCAAATATTTAAATAAATAAATATTTAAAAGTTTTTCTTTAAGAACTAAAACAAGAATAAAAAAAACAAAAAAAATGTAATTTTTTTAATTCAGAATTAAATGCTACAATCAAATGTTATTTTTTTACCTACGTCTGACTAAAGCACGAATTATCTACTGATAAAGAAGGGAGATGATAAAGAAGAATTCATAAACAAACCTCTTTCATGTTTAAAAAAATGTTATCGAAATTCCAAAGTAACGATAAACAGTGTAAGGCATAAAAATGTTTTAAATTAGAAAAATTAATTAAAAGAAATAAAAAAAAAAATGATTTTTTATCGGTTTAATTATCACTTGTCGGTAATTAAGAATTTTTTCGATAACAATACCAATGGTAAGAAACTTCTTTACCAACCTACGGTAAATAGTCATTTGTACAATAGAAGAATTCCCCTTTATCATAATTATTTTAATTATTTTCAAATTTTTTGAAAAAAAAATTAACTTTCCAACGCTCTGCTTTATCACGTGCAATTTGTTATTATACAATTGAATTTTCCTTTTGATCAACTTTCTAAAATTTGTTGTGAGAATAAATGCCATTCAGAAATTTTAGATTTAATTCCGATTTTAGAATTTATACACATTTTATACTATTTATGCAGTTTAATTAGAAAGTTGAAAGATTATGTTAATATCACTGTATACAAATTTTAATGCAAAATAGATTTTATTAATTATAGAAAGTTATAATTTCGAAAAATTGATTTACTCCACTTTTTGAAAATTATATTCGTCTTTTGATAATTGCAAATTAGAAAAAAAAATTATTGGAAATTTAGAAAAAGAGAGAGAGAGAAAAAAATAGTAACAAATAAACAAATAAATAATATGTAGTAAGTAAAAATTGATTAAATAAATAAATAAAAAAATGAATAATTGTTTATAAATAATTAATAGTAAATAAAAAAATAAATAATAGTAAATAAATAGTGAGTAAATCATTAATGCATAATTAATAATAAATAAAAATAATACCGAAAAGAATATTCATTCAACAAATTTGGAAATTTTTGGTATTTAGAATTAATTAGAAATCTTAATTGACTCTAATAAATTTCAAATAACTTAATTAAATGAAATTGTCGCTTTTATAATAATAAATTATTTTTATCTCTTTCTGAGGTATTTAATAATTAAATTAATTTAATTCAGAGGGTTGATTTTTAATTTTTTTTAAATTAATTTTTACTTTATTAATTTTAATTTTTATTACAATACTTTTTTTTAAATGGATATTATTTAATTCAACATAAAATTCTTTAAGTATAATATTAAACGCAACTTTGTGAATGTTCTTCCTGTGGCATCACGCACTTTGCTAAGTAACGGTTATTACTTTTCACGACTACCACTTTATACTATAGATCACAAAAGCGACTAAAGCACTCACTCGAAGAAAAGAATCCGCCCTGATTTTCCACGTTTTCTCACAATTCTAAAGAAACTTTATAGCTCGAGACAAAAATGGCTTTAAAAATAGAAAAAAAAAAATTTTTTTTCTTATAAAAAAAAGAAAAGTCTGAATTGTCATTCAGTTTAATCGGTTTCTTAAATGCCTGAGCATGAAACTTATTATTACTTATATTATCACAAATAATAATAGAAGAAAAATTACCATTTTAGAAAAAAAGTGAATCGTTTGATTTAATTTACAATAGGTAAGAAGAAAACAAATCAAAGTATAAAGTTCTACCTCTTGCATATAATTTATCAGAAATTGACATTTTTCACTATTGCATTATTGTAATTAAACCAGTTATTAAAATTAATTATTATTTATATAATAATAATAATAATAATAATAATAATAATAATAATAATAATAATAATAATTATTACTTTATTATTTTTATTATTATTATTACTATTATTACAGGGCTCGGACGTGGAACGCCCAGCACGAGATAAAAGTTTTTATTTAAAACAAACCTGGCGCATATGGTTTAATATATATGAAGCGTTTTGTGCAGAAACAGCATAAGTCGATAATTCGAAATTGTTCAGGAATCAATAAAAACTGTTTTTTTCGTAAATGTTAAGATTTTTTTTAATTCGACTTTTTGCATTATATTCTACTAACCTATAAGTTAAAAAATCCAATATGATTAATTAATTATCTACTTAATATAAAAAATTAAAAAATAAATTAGCATTTGGACTTATGCTGTTTCTGCACAAAATGAAATGAAAAACACAGAAAATTTATTAAATCCAGTGAAATATCAAAGTTTTATGAAATATTTAATAACATTTATTTAAAATATTAAATTTGGATAATTTGTAGTAACATTTTATAAATAATAAAATTGTTTTAAGAATAAATTTAACCAATTTTCAATATTTTCTAATTTTAAAATAATTCAGTCACCACTGTCACTTTTTGCTTCCCATGAGTATTTTTATTTATAATACAAACTGTTTAATATAAATTATTAAAATACGTCAAGAATATCACAAATAAATATAAAACTTATCATGGACTTGTGCTGTTTCTGCACAAAATGATATTTTAATTATTTTTTTTAAGGGTTTAGAGTTTAGTCACTTATGTAATATTTTACCAGATTGAAAAGCTTCATTTAAAGATAAATTTTCAACAAAAAAGTGATTTTCGAAAAAAATGGACTTATGCGGTTTCTGCACAAAACGCTTCATATATATATATTATTATTAAATCCAGAGAAAAAAATTTATTTAAAGTAAATGAAATTTGAGTTGAATGAAAAGCACTTTCTAAATCACAATTAAAGAATTCTACTAACAAATATTAAAACTTCACTTTAATTGTTCGTAATTTTCATGAATACTTTTGATACTATTTTTTATTTCTAGATTCAGTTCGAGGCTTGTTGTTGATTATAACGTCTCTCAAGTAAAATCGAAATATTAAATTAATTGAAAAACATTTTGAAAATAAAATTCAATTAAATAATTGTTAATTTAAAAATTTCTCTTAAAGTAACAAATTAATTTTTCGTTCAATTAAATTAACTAAAAAGATTAATTGAAATTAAAATAAAGTAGTAAAAAAAATATAATAAAAGTAAAATAAAAAATATTATATAAATATACTCTAAATTTGGATTAGTAAAAGTGTTTACTAATTTGAATTAGTGACTGACTTCTTGTTTTTAAATCAGTAATCAGTAAATTTAATTAATAAATTAGTTGATATTACTATTTTTTAGTTAAATTAGTAAATACTTTAACTAATTCAAAATAAAGTAAATATTTGAACAAATTTAAATTTAGAGAGTAAATATATTTAGCTAAAAAAATTACTTTTCTTGAATCAAATAAATGCATACTTGAAGCAATAATAAATATTTACTTATGGGTCGAATAAATATTTTCTTTATCCAAGTAATTATTAATTATTAATTAATTAACTAGAATAATTTGAATGTTCTTTCATTTATTCACTTTTTTTGTCCCTTACACTCTGAAGTTGTCTCTTGTCTATACTTTTGTTTTTTGTTATTTTTAGATAAATTGTTTATTATATTATAATTTTTTGTATTTTATAATTAATTTAAAATTGTAATGACAAATAGAAATGAACAGGATTTTTTCCCCTTTTTTCATTAAAAGACTAAAATTTTCTTAAATATTATGTTTTGTCAAATTGAAATTATGCAGATTTTTGTTCTTTACTTCTAAAAAAAATAAAAAAATTATTAAACAACTGTGATTAAGAAATAGAAAAATTATTTATTTTCCATTATTTTCTATTTGAATCACAATTTTTTTTAAGAAAATTATTATTTTGTTTTAGAAAAAGAAGAAAAATATTTGCACAATTCTTATTTTTAATATTATTTTTGGAACAGGAGTTTTCACAGGAATTAAGATATTCAAAAATTTCAAATTCAAACCTTTTTTAAATTAAACATTTTATAAAAGTATTGTTCTAAAACATGAACATATAAATTGCTCCGAGTCGAAGACTCGGAGTGATCGATTTCTTCATGTTTTCTAATAATTAAAAATGACCCAGAGATAAAATAATTATTTTTTAGTATAAGAATATTGTTACTGTAACTTCATCAAAATTATTTTCATCATTTTAATTCAATTATTATTTTCTAGAATTTTAAATTATTTTTTATGAAAATAATTAAATGTTTGCATACAATTTTATTAAAATTTATTTTTAAATAATTGAATTTTTTTGGGCAATTTTATTAAAATTGTAGATATTGAAAATCATTGAAATTAGACAAATTTTTGAAAATAATTGAAATTAGGACAAGAATTTTTTTTGACATTTAATGAAAATAATTGAACTTTGGAGAAGAATTTTGTTATCTATAACGATAATTGGGATTTTTACGAGAATTTTTTTCAAATTTTGAACACAGTTGAATTTTTTTTTTTTTTTTTTTGAAAATACATAATTGAATTTCTGCAATTATTTATAATTTCTCCAAAATTGAATTTTTTTAGTGTTTTCAACAAAAATTTAAATTAGAAAATTTTTTAATTCTATTATTTTTAAAATTGATAATTTTATTTAAAAAAGGTAGTAAGAAGTTATTGTTGCTGGTTTTTATTAAAATCAAATAAATTATACCTGAACCAATAGTTTTAATATTTGAAGCAAATACCATTCAATTGATTTAAATAAAAAAATTATTTGTTTTGAGTAAATATTTATTTGCTAGTCGACAACTGAATCGGTTATTTGAATCAAATAAATTTTCTCATTCATAGTGTTAAAAATGGAATAATAGATTATACGAAATAAATAGAACAAGAAAAAAGGAAAAAATATTTCACAATTAATTATTATTCAACAGACACTATTTGCATATGTCCATAGAGTGGATTTAATTTTCTTTTCAAATCTATTTATATCGTCTAAAGATTTGAGCTTTGATCTAGTGTGGGGAGCACAACTGTTTAGTAATGATAATAATTCATTAAAATCTAAATGTGCGTCCGGCATGTTTATCCGCATACTGTTCATCGTCGAAGACAGGGCAATGTTAGAAGGAGAGTCGTGAAAATTTATCGCTCATTATCGCGGTTCAAGTGCTGTTTAGTTTCTAACGGTATGCTGCTACTTAAGTGTTGAAAATAATTATTCGATTTCGATGACATTGTCAATAAAAATACGATTATTTCCTTACACGCCTCGGAACACTGCTCAATTATTATTTAATTAATTATTTGCATTTTAATTAATGATTAATTACAAATGAAGTATTTGATTTTACTAAAGTGATTATTATTTATTTATTAATAATTAATTTGATTGTTAATTTATTAAATAATTAATGCATAGATTTGTTACATAATTAATAAATAGATTCGTTAATTAATGAACGAATTGATTTATTAGTTAGTTGATGATTTGATTTATTAATTAATTGGTAATTTGATTTATTAGTTAATTGATGATTTGATTGATTAATTAATAAACGAATTAATTTATTAACTGAATGAAAGTATTGGAAACTTTTGCCATTAAAATCCATGAAATTTTCTTTTCGAAAAGATCAAAAGTAATTAGAAAATTTTATTCCCTTTGGCTCTTTGATTGTAACTTTTAATTAAAACACGATAAAGAAAATAGAAGAGTAAAAAAATTTAATCCAATAATAAATTAACTTGATTCAATTTTAAATTCTTTGTGAATGTGCATGACATTTCAACTTTATCATAGATACATTTATTTATTTCGTTCATTATTTTTTTTCTACATTTTAAATTAACTTTGTCTACTTCTTCTTTTTTTTTGCAATTTTATCGCCGTATTCCATTAATTTTTTTCATTTCGTTCCTTTGTCTCTCACAAACTCTGAAATGGAACTTTCGTTATATAGAGAGCAAAACACAGGGAATAACAGTAGTGAAAGAAAAAAAAAAGTTTTAACTTAAGAACTCAATTTAGCAACTCTTTATCTAAAAGCATTTCGAGCCTATAATTGTTGGGACACGAACGTGAGAAATGTCTTTGAATTTTCCGCACGCCTTGACCAAGAGAGCATTTAAAAAACCGTTTTCTCGGTAGGTTTTTTATTGTCCAGTGAAGGAGGAACAAAAAAATAAATAAAAAAGAAAAAACCGCGAGTAAAATTGCAGTATTTTTATGACTTTTTCGCGTTTCTCGCAATAAAGGCAGAGGAAACCAGAAGAAGATTAACTAACGGGGTTGTATCATTCCCTATTCGCCACCTGTTGCTGCACGAGATTTTACAAGAGGATTTCTATTTTATTCTCCTGTCAGCTGTTTATAAACAGACATTTATAAATGTATATATAAAATCTGTAATGAAACTCACTCGTGTTTGCGAATCCTCTGACTTTTCCTGAATTTCGTAACTTCCAAAGCGATTCTGCAAAAAAAAACAAACAAATGATTCAAATAATTAATTATATTGATTAAATTTAGGGTAAGTCCGGGGGAGATGGCCATAGTTTTTTTAAAGTAGTGTAAAATTTATAAAAAAGCTTTTTTTGTCTAAACTTTTATTGATAATTAAACATTGAACACTTAACTTGAAAATAAAGAAACATAAAATAAAATATTTTCATTGCAACAATCTTAAAATTTACATTTTCGAAAAAGTGCATTTGGCCATTTCTCGGGAATGTCCGGGTGAGATGGCCACTACCTATAATTTTTGGCTTTTATCTTAAATTTAATTTTTAATCGTTCACATCACTTTCCTCTTTTTCTGGTCGCATTTTGAAAATTTTTCATGGGGTTCAGAGCAGTTTTCATGTAGCCACAAGTGTCAAATTCTGCATTGAATTCAATCTTCAATTAATGTCGTTCGGTTGTAACTTTTAGCACAACCTACAAATAAATCTCCATCTCTGGTGTCAATTAGATCAATTATTTTGTTCTCAGACATTTTTAATTTGCTTTTCTTGAATATTTCTCAAGTATCTAACATTAACATAAAAAAATTTTAAATAAAAGTCATTAATGGCCATCTTACCCAAAAATTCATGATAAAAGTAAACATCAAAATATTAAATAAATAAAATAATTTTTCCTTTCATTTTTCGTTTATATCGAAGCGTGGGTTAAACACTACTCAATAAAACTTAAATTTGAAAATTATGTTAACAAATAACAATATAGCAACAAGAAATCTGAAATTTTCAAATTATTTTGGACCCATGCAAAAAAAATAAACAAGGATTACACTTACAGCTTCATTATTTTTCATCAAATTATTGTTTAGATTTATTATCAATCACAAAAGGTTGAAGAATAACCCATAAAAAGTGATATTTCTTTACAAATTCTGTAAAATATTCGAACTGGCCATCTCTCCCATATGGCCATCTCCCCCGGACTTACCCTATTTATTATAAAAATAAAAAAATGATTATTAATTCTTTATTTATTAATTAAACACTAGCAACAATTCGCGCGCTAAAGCGCGGCTAACTTCTTCCTTGCTTTTTTAAATAAAATTAGCAACTTTAAAAATAATAGAATTTAAAAAATTTTAATATATTTAATTAATTATTGAAAATAATAGATTCGCAGAAGAATTTTTGTTAAAAACACTAAAAAAATTGAATTTTGCAGAAATTATAAATAATTGCAGAAATTCAATTATTTTCAAAAGTAATAAAATTCAATTGTGTTTAAAATTTTAAAAAAATTCTCGTCAAAATCCCAATTATCTTTATAAGTAACGAAATTCTTCCTAAAAGTTCAATTATTTACAAAATTTTTTCTCATTTTAATGATTTTCAATTTTTCAATATCTACTATTTTAATAAAATTTCCCAAAAAGAATTCAATTATTTAAAAAAAATTTTAATAAAACTGTACGCAAACACTTAATTATTTTCATAAATAATAAAAATTTCTCAGGAATTCAATGATTTACAAATTTTTTTATAAATTTCTTTGCAATAATTAAACTATTTTCATGTATAATAAAATTTTTTAAAGGAATTTAATTATTTTCATGAAAAATAATGAAAAAATTAAAAATTAAAAATTTTTTTGAGTTGAATTTTTTCCTTTATTTTCTAAAAATACAAAAATTTTCAATTTAATTTTCAATGAAAATTTGTAATTGAAAAATAGAATTTATAAACATTTTTTTTTCTTTAATTTTTAAAAAACTTCGAATTTTATTAAAACAATTGTTATTAAGAAATAGAAATAATGCAAATTATTTCCTTATGAAAATTGAGAATTTTCTACAAAAATATTAAGAAACGGAAATGTGTAATGTTTTTTTTAACAGAAAAGAATAACTTTTCTATTTTTTATAAATAAAAAGGAGAAAAATTTGCATAATTTAGATCAAACAAATGGCTTTAAAATTTTTTGTTAGAATAATTAAATAGAATAAATTCTTTTGACGATTTTCTTTAAATTTTTTGAAAATAAAGTTTTTTTTAATAATTTTAATTAAAAATTTGGAAAATAATTGAATTAAACAAAGAATTTTTTCAATTTTTTAATATAATCTTGTCTGTTCATAATTTTAATTGAAAATTGGATTCATTCAATTTTATTAAAATGTATTGATACTAATTGAATTTGTCCAAATAAATTAATTATTTATAAAAAATAATTGAAATTTTGAGGAGAATTTAAAAAAATTTTCAAACATAATATTGAATTCCTGCGAAGAATTATATTACTTTTGAAAATAATTGAATTGTTTTTAGAATTTTATGGAAATTTGTGAAAATAATTGAATTCTTGTGAAGAATTTTTTTTCAAAATAATATTTAAATTTTAAAATAATTTAGTAAATCTGAAGAATTTTTCTATTTATGGAAATAATTGGATTCTTGAAAAGAATTTTTTTACAGTTTCTACAAATAATTAAATTCTTTCTTTCGACGAATTTTAATAAAATTTTTAAGAATAATTACTTGTTTTCGAGGGATTTGATTAAAATTGTATTAAAAATAATTGAAATTTTGCAATGAATTTTACTATTTATGAAAATGATTGAAATGTTGCAAATAAATTTTTAAAAATAAAATTATAATTACGGTAACTAACTTCCCTTGATTATTTCCGAAAAATCTAAATAAAATTCTTTAAAAGAATTTAATAATTTTTAATAGAATGTAAAGAAATTTAAATTATTTCAAAAATTTTTAATTATTTGTTTATAAAAATTCAATTATCTTGAAACAACAGAATTGAAAAATTTCAAAAATCTTATTTTTCAGAATTTTCAAAAAAACTTTGCGAAAACTTAATTTTATTAAAAAATTTTCAATGTGTATCTTTTTTAAATTAACTAATAAAAATTTTAATTATTAATCTTCGCACAAAGAAACATGAATACATTAGAATGTGACTCTTTATAAAATTCAATTATTTATCAATTATTAAATTAAAATACTTTGAAAATTCGATTTGTTAAACAGTTTTTAATGAAATTCTTTAACAAATATAATTATTTTCAGTTGAATTTCACAAAAAATCTATTAATTCGATAATTTTTTTAAAATTTATTTACATACTATATTTGAATCAGTGACTGATTTTTTACTATCAAATTAATTATTTTTAACTAATTAAAAGAGAACAGTTTAAATATCTATAAAAATTGAAATAAAAAGCGATTTTTTAAAAACAATTTAAAATAATACAACTTTTTTTAATTTGGTAAAAAAATTCCCGGTTTTGCACAAAATTCCTGGCTTATTCTTAATTTCTTAATCATAATTTTTAAAAAGTTTCTAATTTTCTAATTTCAAATATTATTTTATTATAAATCATGAAAAAATACCTGCATTCGATTTGTCAAACAATATTTTTTAAAGAAAAAAACAAAGCAAAAGCATACACAAAAACAAACTTCAATGTGTAGACCGTCAAAATCAAATTCAGTTAGGAAATAAAAAACGAATTTCAATCCGAAAATGAACCAAAAGTAAAATTAAAAATTATACAAATCAACTAAAAACTATTAAAAGAATTTAAAAATATTGAAAGAATTTAAAAATATTGAATGAATTAAAAAAAATATTAAAAGAATTAAAAAATATTGAAAGAATTTAAAAATATTAAAAGCAGACTTAATGTTAAATTTTTGCCTAAAATGCAAAAAGAAGAAAATGGAATATTTTCGAGCGTGGAAAATAAAAAAAACAAAAAAACAAAAAGGGAAAAATCGAAAAGATTAGAAAGAGAGTTCATTTACCCCCATTTATGAAACAGCAGAGCAAATGCAAAATGAAACGCGTCAAATTTTTTGAAATTTTACACTGAAACTTGAGAGAGTTTTGTACACTTGGAATATATATTATATGCAAGAATCTATTAAAACATTAGAGAACTGCATTAGCTGAGAGTGAATATAACTTTCAACTGACAGCGATATGTAGAATAAAAGCGCTTTTTGCAGTATCTCACCTCACACTTGTTTCCTGCTGATAGTGAATATGTCAGTTTTCAAAGTGCGCGGGAAACAAGTCTCATGACATCAGAATTTCATAAAAGAATATTATAACAGAGCAGACAAAGAAATCACATGTATAAGAGTAGTTTTTATTTGAAACGATGAGTGATTTTCATTTTGAGAGAGTTTTTTTTTTCAAGTATATACTCTGCAAAGAGCGAGAGACTAAAAAGAAACACGCTGAATGGCGATAAGTACGTGATCAATTCTAAAGAAATTAGTAATCATTGATCTATAGTGCTATATACTCGTGTCTAGAAAAACAGAAGTAGAAAACTCTCGACAGGTTCGAAAAATAAAAATTTCGCGTGAAGAAAATGTTTTCTAATTCTTGAATACAGATTTGCGAAAATGATTTTAATCTTTTATTTCTTGTTTTATTTAATGTCCGGATCAAAGAAAAGAATACAATTTTTAAAACTCAAAATTACTGTTTTACTAATCACAAAATTTTACTAGATTAATTATTTGTGGAATTTCTACTCGAATTCTGATAAGTAAAATAAAAAATATACAATCAAATTGTATGCGTATTAAATAATAAAATTAGTAAATAAAAGTAAAAAAGAAAACAATGTTCTGTAACATTTATTTACGAATTTAATTAATTATAAAATCAAAAACATCAATAGTTTTATTTAAAATAAATATTTAATCATAATCATAATTCCGTATGAATTAAGATTTTTAAATTCAAACATTTGGAAATTCAATAACTTATAATAATTAAAAATGACCAAGTGATAAAATCATTAATTTATATTATAACAATATTGTTACTGTAACTTTTTCAAAATTATTTTCATTTCAATTCAATTATTATTTTTTTGAATTTTTAACTAAAATTCTTCTTGAAATCAATTATTTTTAATATTTTTTGAAAAAGTTCTTTGAGAATTTTCAAGTCCATTTGTTTACATTGTTATAGTTAAAAGTATGAAAACTACAAATTTTCAAAGATTTTAATTTTAAACCTTTCCAAAATTCATGCTATGTATTATGCTTTTAATATTAAATTTTTTTCAAATTTTAACTGAAATTAATTTTTAAATCAATTCTTATTAGAGAATTCTACGAGTATTCAATTATTCAAATAAAAAAATTAATTTATTGAACAATTGAACGTTTCTTAAAATTGAATTCTTATAAAGAATTTTGTCAGAAAATTTTGAAATAATAATTGAATTCTTTCGATGAATTTTAATTAAATTTTTAGAAATAATTACATTTTTCGAGGAATTCGATTATAATTGTATTTGAAATAATTGAAATTCTCCCATGAGTTTTGTTATTTATTAAAGTAATTGAATTCCTAAAAAGAGTTTATAATTGAATTCCTGTAAAAATTTTATTATTTATGAAAATAATTAAATTTTTGGGTAGAATTCAAAAATTTTTTTTTTTTAATTTATTGAATTCTTTTGGAAAATTTTATTAAAATAATAGATATTGAAAATCATTGAATTGGGGAAAATTTTGGAAAATAATTGAAATTTTGTCAAGAATTTCAATTTTTGAAAATAATTGAAATTTTGTCAAGAATTTCAATTTTTGAAAATAATTGGAATTTTGTCAAGAATTTCAATTTCCGAAAATAATTGAAATTTCGTCAAGAATTTCATTAAAATTTTTGAAAACAATTGAATTTTAGAGAAGAATTTTTTATTTATAAAGATAATTGAAATTTTGAAAATAATTTTTTAAAATTATTGAACACAATTGAATTTCTGCGAAGAATTTTATTACTTTTGAAAATAATTGAATTTCTGCAATTATTTGTAATTTTTCCGAAATTAAATTTTTTGAGTGTTTTCAACTAAAAATTCTTCGGTGAATCTATTATTTTCAGTAATTAATTAAATGTAAATTAAAACATTTGTATTCATATTTTGAGAAATAATTACATTTTTTGAGGAATTCGATTAAAATTATATTAAAAATAATTGAAATTCTGTGATGAGTTTTATTATTTATGAAAATAATTGAATTCCTAATAAGAATTTTATTATATTTTTGAATATAATTGAATTCCTAATAGGAATTTTATTATTTATGAAAATAATAAAATTATTATGAAGAAATTCATAAAAAAAAATTTTAAATAATTGAATTCCTGTGAAATTTTTATTATTTATGAAAATAATTAATTCTTTGCATAGAGTTTTATCAAATTTTTGTTAAATAATTGAATTCTTTTGGAAAATTTTATTAAAATAATAGAAATTGAAAATCATTGAATTGAGGAAAATTTTCGAAAGTCATTTATTGGTAATTTATTGATTTTAATTAAATGTTTATTATTAATATTAGTATTTAAATTTCTTTATTGTTGAATTTCGCGCCTAAAAGTTCTTGAAATTGCCGCCTAGATGGCATGAAAATTCTTTCACAGACGAAATGAAGCGAATAGAGTTCATGAATCACAATATTAGTGATATAAAATTATTTCGTTTCAGTTATAAAATAAATTTTGTTCTAAATTAGAATAATAGTGAGTGACTAAGTTATTAATCATTTAGAGAGTGAAATAAAAAAGTACTCACCACTCTGCTGGATAATTTTTATTATTTTTTATTTTTACTATTAAACAAATATTATTTTGTTTAATTTTGTTTTATTCTCTAGACCGAATCTTTAATTCAACGTGAATTAAATGTGTCAGTATTTTCATTAATACATTTTGCTATTATTATTTTCATATTATAAGTACTTTTGTACGAAAGGGAACTACCCGTGTAAATAAATAAACTAAATAAATTATTTTTAGAGCCCAAGATTAAAAAAGTCATTAGTTTACTCAGGGAAGTAATTTTAATTTCAATCAAACTTAAAATATCTTTGCTATACAGTCAAATATATTTAAGTTTAATTGAAACATGTTTTTTGGTTCATTTAAAGAAATAATATATTTAATTCGAACATAAGTTATGGTTGATTTTAAATGATTTATAATCAACTTTTAAGTTTGAATCAAACATAAAATTTTTAAACATAATTTTTGTTTAAATCAAAACAGAAAATATGTTTGAATTAAACATAATGATTCAAACAAATAATATTTTTGAATCAAAGCAGTAGATATTTTTTATATATTGGGATTAAGCTTACAAACGAATTTTAATTAAACAAAATCACTTAAAATTATTTTCCTATTTGAATTAAGTATAATGTTTTCTCAGTGTAGTATTAAAAATTCGCTTTTTTGTTTGCTGGCTTTTTTGTTTTGTTTTGCTTTCCCTCTTTTCTTATCTCCTTATGAGAAAAAATCTCTTCGATAGTTTTGTGAACCTTTGACAGTGAACCAGCTTGAAAATAATTTCAAGCAGTATATTACGAGTTTACTGTCAAAAAGAATTGAAAACTGGTTCACTGATTACTAAAAAATAACAGTTGATGGTAGAGAGTGAAAGATAAACTTTTGTTTGAAGAAAAATAAAAGTGGGCAATGAGATTTGGAGAGAAAGTGCGCTTGATAGGAAATCTAAATGACAAAGGGTCGTGAACCTATAATGGAGACAAGTTTGTGTTTCGCTCGGAGTCGAAATGTATCTTGTATGTATATTGTATACTGACTTGGGGGGAATCCGTGGAGGTCGTAGAGGCTTGATGGTTCCGGTTCTCTATGACTGTCTTTATTTGCTCCAGCACCTGCAAACAAAACGTGCTTTAGTCAGTCTCAATGTCTCACCGCAATCCACTTATGAAACACGCGACGCGGTTCACATAATACGCATTCATTTCGCCTCCATTCATCGGCTTTTCAATTATTCAAAGTGTTCTTTTTTTCTGTTTCTTTTTTTTCTCTAAATCGACAATTTTATATTTAGAAAAAGTGTCTTTACAAACTTTTCTCGACTTTTCTTTTTTTATAGTTGCTACTCTCTAAATCTGAATTAGTAGTTTTCCACTAATGAAATAGTGCGGATTCGTTTACCAATTGAATTAGTAACTGTTTTTACTAATTTTTAGTAGTTTTTTTACTAATTATTAATAGAAAATTTACTAATTTAAAATAGTAAAAAATACTTTCTACTAATTGAATTAGTAATTTTCTACTAGCAATTAGTAAAATATTAGTAAAAATTACTAAAAAATGTTACTAATTCAAATTGGTAAACGAATCCGCACTAATTCAGATTTAGAGAATCCTAGTTAGTAGTACTAGTTAATAGTTACAGTTACTAACAGTACTAGTTGTTAGTAGTACTACTCAATAGTCAAAAATTAGCTTTAACACTAAAAAAGTAGCTATCCAAAATTATTTAATGAATTTAATTTTTATAATTTTAGTAAATACTAGATTTATAAAATAATTTTAGTTAAAAATACTAAACAAAATTGAATTTTGGAAAAGTTACAAATCATTCCAGAAATTCAATTATTTTCGAAAGTTATAAAAAATCTTCGCAGAAATTCAATTAGTTTCAAAAGTTATAAAAATTCTTCGCCGAAATTCAATTATGTTCAAAACTTTTACAAAAAATTCTCGTCAAAATTTCAATTATCTTTATACCTAAATAATAAAATTCTTCTTCGAAATTCAATTATTTTAATAAATTTTACTAAAATTCTTGGCAAAATTTCACAAAAATTCAATTATTTTTAAACATTTTAATACAATTTTTCGCAAAAATTCAATTATTTTCATAAATAATAAAATTCTTCTCAAGAATTCAATTATTTTTGAAAATTTTAATAAAATTCTTAGCAACTATTCAATTATTTTCATAAATGATAAAATTCATCGCAGGATTTCAATTATTTTTAATACAATTTTACAGGAATTGCTCAAAAAAAAGTAAATATTCTTAAAAATTTGATTTCAATTTCTCAAAAATATCAATTATTTATTTCGAAAGAAATAAATTATTTTTAATACAATTTTAATTACACTTTTTTTTAAATAATTCAATTATTCTTTTAGATTTTAATAAAATTCTTTCCAAAAATTCAATTATTTACATAAATAATTCTTCGAAAGTATTTAATTATGTTGATTAATAACAAAATTATTACCAAAAATTCAATTATTTTGAGGCATTTTAATAAAATTCTTTGCAAAATTCAATTATTGTCTTTATAAATAACAATGTTCATCACAAGAATTCAATTATTTTTAAAAGTAATAAATTTCTTCTCGGAAATTCAATTATTTTTAAACATTTTAATACAATTTTTCGCAATAATTCAATTATTTTCATAAATAATAAAATTCTTCTCAGGAATTCAATTATTTTTGAAAATTTCAATAAAATTCTTAGCAACTATTCAATTATTTTCATAAATAATAAAATTCATCGCAGGATTTCAATTATTGTTAATACAATTTTACAGAAATTGCTTAAAAAATGTAATTATTCTTAAAAATTTGATTAATAAAATTCTTCTTCAAAATTCAAGTATTTAAAAAAAATTTACAAAAATCTTGGCAAAATTTCACAGGAATTCAATTATTTACAAAATTTTTAATAAATTTCTTCGAAATAATTCAATTATTTTCATAAGTAATAAAATTTATAAAGGAATTCAATTATTTAAAATACATAATTTGAAATTTTTTTTCGAAAAACATCAATTATTTAAAAAGATTTTTATAAAATTTGTCGCAAGAATTCAATTATTTAAAAAAAATGTAACAACTAGTTCCTTTCAAGAATTCAATTATTTTTATAAACTTGAATAAAATTCCTTGCAATAATTAAGAAAAATTTTAATAAAATTCTTGCGAAAATTTTAATTATTTTCATAAATAATAAAACTCATCGCTGGATTTTAATTACTTTTGATACAATTTTAATCAAATTCCTCGAAAAATGTAATTATTCGTTAAAATTTTATTCAAATTCGTTAGAAGAATTCAATTATTTAAAAATTTGTTGATAAAATTCTTTGTGAGAATTCAATTTTAACAAACATTCAGTTATTCAATTAATTAATTTTTTTTAAATTTAAATAATTGAATTCTTCTAGAATTTTCTAATAAAAATTGTTTTAAAATTGAATTGCTGTGAATTCTTGTGAAGAATTTTATTATTTATGCGAAAATAATTGTATTTTTGTCTGGGATTTTATTAAATTTTTTATAAATAATTGAATTTTCGTGAAAAATGTAATATCTTGTGAAAATAATTGAACTGTTGAGGTTAGAATTTTATAAAAAGTTTTTAAATTGTTTATTATTTTTGAAAAATTGTATGAAATATTTTAAATAATTTAATTCCTCTGAAAATTTTATTACTTATAAAAAAATTGACGTGATACTAGTAGATTAGTGAAACACAATTTTTTTTCTATAAGGAAATAGTAAAACGAAACTAAAAAGAAATCCTCATAAAAAATAAATAAAAGTAAAAAGTTTTAAGACAAAAGTCCGTTGGGGAACGGATACTTTTTTGTTTAATCTTAAGGATCTTTTTAAAGCTTTGCGGTGGAATTGAGAAAAACTTTTGGCTTTTTGCAAAGTAACTGAAAAAGCATTATAAATTGTTTATATCGTGAGAAATTCCGAGATGAATTTGTATTCGAATTACAAACATTAAACGTGAAAGTGCACTAATATACAATCATGCCCACTTGAACGGATTAACTGGAAATGCACTTTAGGAATAAATTGTCTTTCGGCCGAGTGTCTTCCATGGACAGTTGACTTTCACTCTTTCGAGAGTTTTATTGTTATATATCAAAATATATTTAAAAATTATTTACAAGACCTATTTTCGACATTAAATAATTAATTTATTTAATGGTATTTACAAGACCTACTATTTTTAGACAAAAAGAAAAATTTAATGAAGAGATTATTCTTTTTTTTTGTTTAACAAGCGGTTATTTTATCAAAATTGAAATAATTGAAAGTCACTGAATCGTTTAATGAAGGTTATTTTTGTTTTTTATTGTTATTGTAATAATTTAATCGCATCTTAAAAAACTCTTATTTTTTTATTCTTTTATTCACTAATAATAAAAATAATTTCAAAGAAAAGCAGAGAAAACCAGAAAAAATTAAAATAGTTTTATAGTTCAAAAATTTAATTGTTTGAAAAAGTTGTGAATTTATTTGTTTGTGTAAATTCAATAAAATCTATTTTTATGTATCCCTTTGCCGAAAGTACTGACTTCCCGGTCTGATTTGGCTCCGGGAATAGCGACTTTTGTGGCCGGCTCGAACTTACGCGCGCTCTGATTGGCTACGAGATTTTCGTGGCTGTCTAGCATAGCAACCAAATAACAACGCTTATTTCAGTGTTTTTGTAATGTGGGCATGAAGTGTGCATAACGTCAAAATCTCGTCTGAAAAACGTGCTTTTTAATCGTAAGAAAAAAAAGATAATGGAAAGCTCCTCATCAGAAGGTTCCGCGGATGAGGAAGAAATCCTAAGAAACTTCGACTCAGAGGCAGAAATCATAGTGCAAACGAAAACTTTACCAAAGAAATCTTCGGATCGATATCTGTTAGTGTATAATACTTACAAAAAATGGCAAGAAGACAATAAAAAATCCCTTTCTAAAGAAGAAGAAAATAATTTAATTGTTTATTTTGAATCACTAAAAGAAAAACTTAAACCGCCTACGCTATGGAGCATTTGGAGTATGCTTAGGAAAACACTGAGTGTTAAAGAGAATATCGACATTAGTGGATTTATAAGTTTAAAATGTATTATAAAAACCAATGCGAAAGGTTATAAACCGAAAAAATCGATGGTACTAAGGTGGGATCAAATTATGCAATTTATGAACAACGCTTCAGATCATGTATATTTAGCCATGAAGGTAATAATTATTATACTTACGTATTTCGATTCCATAATTTCAGGGCTGTTATGATTAAAATTAAAAGGTCGTTTACATTTCAATCATGATTTAAATAAAAATGATCATTTTTCCTTCAAAGAATTTTATTGAATATTGGAAAAAAATAATCATCTACAACTTTAACGAATTAAATTTTTAAAAAATGCACTGTTTTACAAATATGATGTGAAATAATTAAATTGTAAATTCATTAAAATTTATAATACTTGGATTTTTGAAGGTTAAAAAATTTTATAAATTAAATTTAGATTATGGATTAAAATTTCTATAAAAATTGATTAACATTTGGAAAAACAGAATTTTTATTTGATTGACATTCGGAATAATAAAATTTTAAATTGATTAGTATTTGGAATAATTGAATTTTTATTTGATAAATATTCGAAATAATTGAATTATTAGCTGATTAAAATTCAGAATAATTTACATGATTGATACTAAACTTTAATTTTATTTTCCCTGATTTTTTTCTGATTTTCCTGACACGTGAAAAGCCTGTTAAATTTTTTTAATTAAATTAAAAGTACTATTAAATATTCTATTATTATTTAAAAAAAATTTTAATTTGATTTAATATAAAAAAATCATAATTTTTAACGGCCCTGAATATATTATATTTGTTTAACTCCATTTAATTGCACTGTTTTTAATTTTGCAGGTTATACTTATTTTTGGCGTCTGCGGCTGTTTGCGCTGCGATGAAATCACCAATATGAAAAATGAACACGTGGAAGACTTGGGAAACAAATATTTAATATCCATCAATGACAACAAAAATGATTATGCAGGTCAATTTATCATTGGGAGTCTTTTTTACGAGAAAGTGAAAACATACATTTCATTAAGACCACCTGGTCAATTCAGTGACCGATTTTTCGTTAATTATCAAAAGGGTAAATGTTTTCGTCAACCCATTGGCAGACATAAAATAGGCGAAGTTCCTGAAGCAATTGCTTCCTATCTGACACTACCCAATGCAAAGAAATACACAGGTCATTGTTTTCGAAGAACGTCAGCAACGCTTCTTTCAAATTCGGGCGCAAACATTCAGATGGTTAAACAATTGGGGAGATGGCGTTCGGACATAATTGCACAAGGGTATATAGAACATTCTATGCTCAACCGCCAATTAATTTATGATGGCCTTGTTCAGAAAAATTCAACAACAAATATTCATTCAAAACCATCAAACAGCGCAGCAGTACCTATTGAAAATGAGATGAATGAATCTAATTACAATTTATCTTGGTCCGATTTTTCCGACGTCATTAACCCTGCCGAATGTAGTCCAATTTCAAGTAATAACAAAATTCTTATAACAAAAATATGCTTATATTGTATTTATATATAAATTATAAAAATATGCCTCTTTTCATTTATAACCACCTTTTTCAGGAGGAGGTTTTAATTCGATCACACCAAACAAAGGGCAAATTCCTGAAACACTTGCAAATCCAAATAAGCCACATATTCGCAGATCTGAATTGGTTTCAGAAAAGTCAGGCATAAATATGAATTTGAAAAAACATTCGCTTGTTCAGTCACCTACTTGTGAAAAAAGAAACAGAAATAATGACTGCGACAATGAAAGTCACAATGAATTAAGCGCAAAGAAATTTTCAAAATTATTAACAAATACGCAGGAAATATTCGAAAACGAAGATGACTGTATCCGTAATTTAAAATGGTCAGATTTTCCAGACGATTTTAACCCCAGTGACGTTAATCCGGATAAAAGTAAGTTAAAAAATGTTCAATTTTATGAAGAAAATATAATTATATGCCACTTTTTATTTTTAACAAATTTTTTACAGATCGAGTTATAACCAGTGGATTTACGACAGCAACCAAGAAACCGATACTTATACCAGCTGTAAATAAACAATCAGTCCCTGGCAGTAGTAAATTATTCTCGAATAAACCAGCAATAAAACTAAATTTTAAAATTCCATCAACTGCCCAGCCAAAAAGCCAAAATAACGAAGTTTTAGAGCATCAAAATCAAAATGACACACATTCAACGCTATCAAAAGAACATAATTTGAAGTTTGATAATTGTACCTTCAACAATTGCGTTTTTAATGTTACTGCCTGCAATTGCATTTCAGAAAAAAAATAATTTAATAATTAATTAAGTTTTACTTGTACAAGAAAATGTCAAACAATTTTTTATTGTAACACTTTTTTTACCTGCTGAATAAAATTTGACACTTTATTCTTCTTTGCATTTTTTACTGATGTAGGCCACAAAAATAAGATAATTTAATATATATATTAAAATAATTATTTACTCATAATTTTTTTTCATGCCCGCCCCGACCAGCAAAGTCTCGGCTTCGCCTCGACTTTGCAAAAGTCGGGCGGGCAACTTTTTAAACTATTTTATTATTCAAACAATAATTATTTAACGTACTTTCGGCTGGGGATACAGAAAAATTGTATACGACACACGGCCAGAAATTTGGATAACCTGGCGAGCGTGATATATAAAGCCTCGGCTTCGCCTCGGCCTTATATATCACGCCGGCCAGGAAATCCAACTTTCTGGCCTAGTATCGTAATATACTATAGTATGAAACGGAAAATTGCTATCGAAAACGTGTTCGAACTTGCTTACAATAAAAAAAATAAATAATCTCAATTTTCAAAATATTTCACTAATTGCCTTTTAATTAATTATAATTAATTAAAAGGCAATTAGTGAAATATTTTGAAAATTGTGATTTATCTTTTTTTATTGTAAACAAAACTTCGAACACGTTTTTTTTTATTTATTAATAAAAATAATATATTATTTTTATTAATTCTGTGTCTGAAGGTAAATTAATAAAGAACAATTAGTGAAATATTTTGAAAATTGCTAGCTATTAAATAGAAGCAATTAGTGAAGTATTTTGAAAATAGAAATATAAGAATAGAGGACACAGGAGACTTGAAAACGCATAAGATAAAAAGAGACAGCTAGTCTTTGTCTCTCAACGCATGCGCGACCGTCAAGAGAAGCAACTGCGCTTGCGCCACTCTCATTGGTGGAAAGTAGTGACGCAAGCGCAGTTGCTTCTCGATGCTCGTTAGCATCTCAGTGCGCATGCGTCTCTAGAAAGAGAAAGAAGAAGGGACGTTAAGAACACTTCTACTCTTTCTATCAACCTGACGCTTCACCCACGACCTTTTTTTCATCTCTACGATTTTCGCCTTAGGTAATAATTAATCATAATCTATGTGAATGAAAATTTTAATATTTATATATTAATATATAATATAGTACAAATATTTATTAAAAATTTTCTTTCTTGTCTAATCGAATCGAAATTTGTATTTTGCAGTGGCGCATCACACCGCAGTATTTCGTTTGAAATCGGAGAAAGAAAAGTACTCGACAGGACACCGAAGAATGCAGACTTGTCCGGAATCTTCTATTTCAAAGTGACAAGGAGAGAGGAAACACGAGAAGTAAAAAGGGGTAAGTCAAAAAAATATCGATAAATCATTATTTTTCATAATTTTATAAACTAAAAAAAGTTGTTATATTTGAAATTTTAAAAATTGTTGCCACGTGGTGTCAGTTTGAACTCATTTTTTTTTCTAAAACACAGTTTCTTAAATTAATTTTTAAAATAATAAATGTGTTAATTTATTTGTGTTTAAATAAATAATTTTAGTAATTTTATTTTCTACTACTAACACTATAAATAATACTTTATCTAAGTTTTAAGAAATTTTGATAATTTTTACAAAATGGTTGATTCTCTGTGATTAAAAAAATAAATGTTTTCTTCTCGAAGGCAACTGCATTTTTTACTTCAAGAAGTAGTTTTTATATAAATGTATAATAAAAATTTATATTTTTCGTAATAAAATATTTTTAAAGCGAAAGAAATTTTTTCTCAACACCACGTGTTCGATGATGTCACGTGATTTTAATTTTATTTTTACTAAATAAAATTTATAAGAAATTTGTATTTTAAATATGAAAAAATAATCAAAAAAAGTATTTTTAAAGAAAGGAATATTTATTTGGAGAAAAATAAGTATTAAAAATAAAAAAAGATGTAAAAATCGAAAAAATAAATAAACAAAAAATAATTCTAAAATTATTTTTTCTTTAGTTTTTATTAAACAAATTTTTTATAAATTTTACTAAATGTTGACTCTGGTCTTTTGAGAGAATAAAATACGTAATAAAAGACATTCGTTCATCACATTGTCTCTAAATTGAAAAATAAATTTCAAAAATTTAATAAGAATTTTATTCTGTGTAAAAATATTAAAAATGGAAATAAAAATGAAAGAATTAAAAATTTAAAAACAAGAAAAACTAAAAATCATTTACCTACGTAGTAAGAATTAAAAACAAGGAAAAACTGTAAGAATTAAAACTATAATCTAAACTAGAATACTTATCAAATATTTTAAAATTTATAGACAATGTGATAATTAATTTTAAATATAAAAGATTATAAAATAATTATATAGTTAGTTGATTATTTGAATAAAATTTTTTTCATATTCAAAATTTTCTTTGTAAAAATTGTCAAATATTTATTTATTTTATTATGAAGAAAAAGTAAGAATTAAAAATAAATAAAAAAATAATTAATAAAATATTTTTTACAAATTAAAAATAGAAAAATATAATCAGTAGGGGAGAGTCTCCAGTTGTGAGACACCTCCAGTTGTGAGACAGTCAATTTTTTTTAACATGCAATATTAAAAAGCCGATTGGTTTATATAAAAACATTTCTTTTTATATAAGCCAACTTTTTCGTGTACGCCGAAGCGGATATATAAACTGTTTTTGTTAAATACCAACACTGTGTGTGATAATCGACTAAAAAGCGTTTTTTCAATAAATACAAAGTACTTTTTTTCCAAGTTAATTAATTGGAAAAGGTAAATGTAATGCATTTTCTTTTAGTGTTTTCCTTATATTTTGTGATGCAATATTGCATTGTTCCAATCTACGGTTGAAAATAATTTAATTTTCCTTTTTCAAAATAGCGCCAATTTCTGGGTGTGAGACACAGCATATCACCAGTTGTGAGACGGTGTCAACACCCATCTGGGCAGCATAAAAAATACGACTTTGCAGGCATACTATTTAAATGTTGTTTTGATTTTTTTTCTAGAATTTTTGGGCATGTCAAGTGGAAAAAAGTCAATTGATTCAGAAGAAATCAATTTTAATGCTCTTGTTCAAGCTATTAAATTGTGTTTATTTGATAGTCATATTTTGGCGAATAAATATTATTATTTAGTATATAATAATATATATTATTAATATATTTAATTATTTCTACTAAACATAACGTTTTATGTCAAACTTATTAAATTTTAGCAATTTTTAATGAGTGTCTCACAACTGGAGACATTTTTTTTTTTTTTAAAAAGCGATGTGCTCGGAAAATGTATCGTAAAATTTTTTGAGTTCATCGAAACACTATACTTTCTTTTAATAAAAGTTGCGTATTTCTGTTACCTTTTGAACGGTGTATTTTATTAACAATTTCGTTTACCCGTTTACAATTTACGGGTCAAAAATGAAACCCGTCTCACAACTGGAGACTCTCCCCTAACAATTTTTATATTTTTATTTGTTAAACAAATTTTTTTTTCATAATTAGTGGCAAATTACTAACTTCAAAAATTATTTTTAACTGTCGACAAGTTTTCAATAATTTAGAATTAGAGAGAGAGAGAGAGAAGTTAAACCCTTATGACAGACAATAAAGTTAATGACCTTCAGCATTGTTAGAGAACTTGTTTTGAAATTGCTTTGTTCAACTAGAAAATTAAATTTCAAATTTATTACAAAAAAATCATTTTTCTTGTTTATTACTTCTTCAATTGTTCGTAACAAATAGATATTTATTTTAGAAAAAAATGTAAAAATAAAAAAGAATAAATTAAAAACAAGAAACTTGTAATAATTAAAAATAAAAACGTAAGAATTACAAATTTATAAGCATGATTATTATTTATCAATAAATAAAAGAAAAAGAAGGAAAATTATAAATTTCATCATATGTTAACTTTTATTTTTTATTGACTATTTAATTTTTTCTTATAATTTTGTGGTGGAAAAAAAAATTAATACAAAATTTGAAAAATCGTTAAATATTTCAATATTTAGACACTTTTATTAGACTTTTAAACAAATAAGAATTTCAGGGTAAAGTTAATCCCTTTTTGTAAACAAGAAAGTTAATGACGTTTTGCAATTGTTAGAATACTTGTTTGAAAATTTCTTTGTTTCATTAGAAAATTAAATATCAAATTTATTATAAAAAAAGCCAATTGTCTTTTGTAACAAATATTTTTTTAGAAAAAAAATTTGTAAAAATTAAAAGTGAATAATATAAAAAATACGAAACTTGTAGAATAAAAAAGTAAGAACTAAATTGGCAAATATTCCTTACTAAAAAGAAATATAATGACGTAAAATTATCAACTAAAATTTCATGAAAACTTTTTATTTTAATTTTTAAATTAATTTTTAATTTAATTTTAATTTAATTTTAATTTAATCTTTTCTTAAAATTTTGTAGTGGGAAATTATTAAAAATTTGGAAAATCGTTAAATATTTCAATATTTAGTAGACTTTTCCATAATTTTGAATTACAAGGGAAAGTCAAAATCCCTTATTGTAAACAATAGGGTCAATGATCTCCACCAATGTTAGAGAACTTGTTTTCAAATTGCATTGCTTAACTAGAAAAATTAAATTTTCTTTTTCACAAAAAAAATTAAGTTTTTCGTAACAAATTAATATTTATTTCTTAAAATCTTAAAAAAAGAATTGTAAAATTAAAAATAAATTAAAAAATTCTAAACTTGTGAAATTAAAAATAAAAAAAGTAAGAATTAAATTCGTAAATATGACGACTATTTTTAATTAACAAATAAAAATATAAACAACGAAAATTATTAACTAAAATTTCATGGAAAGTTCTTTTTAATAGAGTATTTCTAATTTCGAAAATTATTAAATATTTGAATATTCAGTTGATTTTTCAATAATTGAGAATTAGAGGGAAAAGTTAATCCCTTGTTGTAAACAAGAAATTTTGTGACCCTCAGTATTGTTAGAGAATTTAATATTTTCTCTCCATTCTTGTCTTTCTTATCGTCAACAACAATAAAAGTACGAAATTAAAATTGAGCCCTTTCCCCCTCTCTTCCTTCCTTGGTGAACAGTTTTCGCCTTCTTCCTCAGTGAAATTTTGATAGCAGTAGTTCAGTGACCACCTTTGTGGGGTAACCAATTAAATAATAAATTTTATTTCTCCTATTAACTGAATATTATTAAATATTTTTTTATTAATTTTAAGTGAAATAAGTGCCTAAATAACAAAAAAAAATGTTTATCTGTCGAACAGGATATGGAAGAGTTTCCAAACTACAACACATTTTTGAAGAAGGAAATTCATATTGAACACTCTGAGGGTCATTTTTAACAATATGTAAGTACCGAAAATTTTAATTTTTTAAAGCATTCAATTTATAAAAGTAAATCAATTTATAACAGTGAATAATAATTTAAATCAATAAATAATATAATGTAATAAAAAAATAATACAATTGGAAAAAAATTTTAATTATCAGAATTATATTGATTGAAAACCCACAATATTAATTAGACTTATAACAATTGCAGCTACAAATTATTTTCATTATTTTTGTCAAATTTCTTCAATAATGAATTTTTATTTATTTATTATTATTTGATAATAATTTTATTTTTCTAATATACTTAAACTTAATAAATTATTTATTCATAATCTAAATAATTTTTTTTAATAATACTAAATAGTAATTATCAATTAATACAATTAAGTAAATTATTTACTAACATTACTGCCTTGACTCAAACTTTTAGTTCGTTTAAATAAATAATTTATTTGTAACGGTAATTAAAAAATAGTTTTTAAATAAGGAAATTATTATTAATGGAAAATAACTCAAACCTTTAGTTCGTTTAAATAAATAATTTATTTGGAACACTAATTAAAAAATAGTTTTTAAATAAAGAAATTATTATTAATGGAAAATAACTCAAACTTGTAGTTCGTTTAAATAAATAATTTATTTGTAACAGTAATATAAAAATAGTTTTTAAATAAATAAGTAACTGTTAAATAAGAAAGAATTTTAGACGTAGGAGTTAATTTTAACAATTTATATTTTATTTCTTTAACATACATTTTTTTTACAGAGACATTTCTTTTGTCATCGAAGATTGATGAGAATCAAGAGGAGACACCGAAGCGTGATTGAAAACTTCAGAAATCTTCGATATCTCGTGCCGAACTTAGTTTTTATTGTATTAGGAAAAATTATTATTTAGCTAGGAATTTTGAAACTAAAAAAATGCAATTATATTAGCTAGGAAATTAGTAAAGTAAGTAGTTTTAAGCAGAAAAAAATATTTTTATTCATCAAGAGGATTCATCATCCGGAGTCAACTTCAATATTTAAGGGGTAAGTCAAAAAATATTTTATTATCCTTTATTCCATCCTACACCCAGACTGTCACGCGCCCAAAACAAAACCATAGTGGAGGTGCTGTCACATACGTTGTTCCGCTACAGTCCCAAAGGTCTCCAGTGTAGAAGAAAAATTTCTCTCTTAGTAGAAAAAAGTAGTGATAGAAACAAGTAACTTTTCTACCTTTCCGATTTTTCTGTCCCCTCTCTTTCCTACTATCTTTCTCCATGGAGAATTAAAGTTCTCTGTTGGTTGGAGGAGTAGTAGGAAATGGTAGGGATAGAAAAGGAGGAAGTTGGCGACTTCTCTCTCTCCCTAGGGAGAAAAAGAAGTCGTTTCCCAACTGGGAGAGTTTGACGACTTTCTCTTCCACTTGGGATAAATCTCCCACTTTGGAGAAACCAAAGTCGTCCTCGAGGAGATAGTTTCCGACTTCGATCTCCTCGAGTAGGGAAGTTGGAAATGACCGAGTCTTTCCACTTCTCAGTAGAAGTCGAAGTCAAGGAGAGGAGCACCACAACTTCTCTTCCTTGAGAAAGAAAAAGAGAAGGGTTTACATCAATTTTTTTACATCTCTAGAGGTCGGTATTTCACAGTGACCTTCTTACCCGTTCGACTTCTTCTGGAATTGAGAAAGTCGCCATCCCCTTTCTGAGGACGACTTCTGACTTTTCTCTCTTCCTACTCAAGGAGAGTGAAGTCGACAACTTCTCTCCTTGAGGACGACTTCGTTTCTCAGGTGGGGAGAGAAAGTCGTCAAACTCTCCCCTGGGAAAGGTAAGGGGAGGAGGTAATTCTCAAGTCCTTCAATAGGAAGTCTTTGAAGGACTGAGTTGGTGGAAAGACTTTCTTTCGGACAGAAAGGCTTGTTGCAAGTCTTTTCCACCAAAAGGAAGGGAGGAGAACTGATAGGCTCTTCCATTGGTCAACAGAGACTAGTCGGTCCCCCCAGGGAAAGAGACGACACTTGATCTTACTCCCAAAGAGAAACTTCTACTTCGGGAGAAGAAGTTTCCCTCTACTCCCTAGAGAGTAAGAGAAGCCCGTTTTCCCTAGGGGAGACTGAGTCCCTCCAAAGGAGAGGTGACATCAGCTCTACCAGGTAGATAGAGAAGTCGGTCCCCCAGGGAAAGAAGACGACACTTTGCCTTATTCGCCAGGAGTAAAGTAATTTCTACTAATTTAGATATTGCCCCACTGTCCAGAGAATAAGTAAAATCCGTTTTCCCTAGGGGAGACTTAAAAGACAGAAAGACAGAAAAAATAAGAAGACATGTAAAAAAAAAGATAGAAGAAAAAAGATAGTTGAGAGAAGCAGGTAACCCAGCCGTTCACCAAAGAGACAGTGAACGACTGAGTTGGAAAAACTAGTCGGTCCTCCAGGGAAAGAAAACGACATTTTCGTCTTATTCGACAGGAATAAGTCAATTTCTACTACTGGTGGGAGAAACTGTCCTATTCTCCAGAGAATAAGCAAAATGCGTTTTCCCTAGAGGAGACTGAAGTGAAAAAATACAAAGAGAAAGAAATTTGTGTTAATAAATTTACTTTGAAATTTGAGTTAGATATTTTTTAAAAAATATTTTTTCTCAGTAGCAACTATTCATCAGAGAAGTAACTGATTTGAAAGCGAAAAGTCAGTCTCTAATTCAAACTAGTAAAAATTTTCGTATTATAATTAAAATTTAAAATTGAATTGAATATTACTTAGTAGTGAAGAAAGAGGGAACAGATGAATAGTGAAGAAACAAGAATAATTTGATCACTCACTCAGATAATTGTAGAAAAATCCATCACCAAAGAGATAACGTCACTGCAAAAAAAAATTGTTAATTGTACAAGACTGAAAAATATTGTTTACGAAAAAGGGCAAAAATTGCAATTAATTATAAGTGAAATAAATAAAAATGCGTACTCGAAAAATTTATGTACAAATAAATTGAATATGAAATTTAATAAAAATCAATAATTGGAATAATCTGTGTTTTGAATTATTGGAAAAATATTTTTAATTTTTAAATACTACATGAAGAAAATTTTCACCTGCAACAGCGATAAGTTTTTCTAATTTAATAAAAGTCTCAAATTAAATTAACTAAACTATTGCCAATGTAATAAAATTTGTAGCTTTTCCAGCTGAAGATTTTTTTCTTGTATGAATTCTATTATTTTACGAATTTTGAACTTTAATTATTATTTTAAATATTTAATTCTAGTACTACCTACTATTTTAATTGCTACAAGTTTCATATTTTTAATTTTATTATTTTTACGAATTTTTTGATGAATTGTTTGTCTTGAAATATTTTTGATATTTTTTGATAATTGACAAAATTATTTTGCTAATTAATGCTAATTAATTAAAATGACAATTTTAATAAATAAATAATTAAACTATAATTACTTCTGTTATTTTTTTGTAATAAATTTCAAATATAAATTTACATAAATTTCAAAACAAATTCTCCAACAATGGCAAGGGTCATCGTCAACTCTTTTGTTTACAATAAGGGATTAAAATTTCTCCAAGTCTGAGTTATTGCAAAAATGTAACACAGTAATTGAAATTAACAATTTTTAAATTTTCTAATAATTTTCCATTAAAATATTTGTTACAAAAAATTCAATCTACTAAAACAGTTGAAAATTTGAAAGAATACATTTTTATTTTTAATTCTTACTAAATTTTTTTAAACTAATTTTTAATGTTAACAATTTTTATTTTCAAGTTTTACTAATTTTTAATGATAACCATTTTTATTTTTATTTCTTACAAATTCTTTTTTGACTTTTTCTAATTTTTTACGTTTACTACCCTATTTTTATAACACAAATTTCTTTCCCATATAAATATTTATTTAAACAATTATTTGACATTTATTTTTTTATAGATTTTTAAATATTAATTTCCAATAAATTTTATTTGGTTACAAGAAATTAATATATTAATATTCACATGGGGAGAAGAACAATTTTTATAATACTGTTTTTTTAATGAAAAATGTTTTTAATTTAACCTTCCGTTGAGAAATATAGAAATTCATATAGAAATGTAACATCTGTATTACTAAATTTGAAAAAAGGAATTTAAATTTAATTTTGAATGTCATGAAGAGAAAAAATTAATTATTAAATTAAAAACAGCATTTTGTTTTGGTCATTAATAAATTAATAAAAATTAAATTGAAAAATTTTGTATCCATCAAAGGAAAATTGAATATTATATATTTGAATTAATTTTACTTTTAAAGGAAAAATGTAGTATTTTTCGACTTACCCCTTAAGTTCGGTGAAGAAAGTTGGAATAGATTTGACGTCGAGTGGTGAATCCTCTTGAATTTGAATAAATCCTCTTGTAAAATGAATTCTTTTTGCTTAAAACTATTTACTTATACTTGCTAAGTTCCTAGTTAATATAAATGCATTTTTTTGGTTTTAAAATCCCTAGCTAAATAATTTACAGTAGAAAATTCATTCGATCATTTTACAAAAAAAAAATTATTCTAAATTTAACAAATATTTGTAACACTCGACGAAAAAAATCCTAATACAATAAAAGCTAAACAATAAATCAGATTTCGAAGATTTATCAACAGTTCTGATATCTTGAGTTTCGTTCCACTTCTGTCTTCTCACCAAACGAGTTAAAAAACAATTTTTCTGTAAAAAAAATATAACTTTTATTAAAATTAATTTCTACATCCAAAGTCCATTTGTTAAAAAAAGTTATTTCTTTGTATAAAAAAATGTTTTATTTTTTTAAAATTTAAATTAAATATTTCTTACAAATAATGATTTATTAAAACCGACTACATATTTAATTTAAGGAAGTAATGTCAATAAATAATTTAGAGATTTAATTATTAATTGGTAATTCATAAATAATAAAATTGGTAATTAGTAATAAAAAATCCAAAATCTTCTCATTGTTTATGAGAATGTAAAAATTACTATTTAATTTATGTATAAAAGTACGTTATCTCAATAAATAATTTATTATTAAAATATCGAAAATAATTATTAAATAAGGTGAACAAAAACATAAATAATCCATTAATTAAAAAATTAAAAGAAACATTAAATAAAAAAAACTTTTTTGTATTTTTTTGGTACTTACGAGTCATCAAGAATGACATTAATTCCTTATTTCACTTTGACATTATTAGAATTATTAGAAATTAAAAAAAGTTAATAAAATCCAAATATTAAGGAAATAAAACTTTTCATTTGACTAGTTACACCATCAAAGAAGGTCAATGAACTGAGATGCTATAGGAAACTCGCTGAGGTAGAAGGCGAAAACTGTTCACCAAGGAAGGAAGAGAGGGGGAAAGGGTACAATTTTAATTTCGTACTTTTATTGTCGTTGACGATAAGAAAGACAAGGATGGACAGAAAACATCAAATTCTCAACAATGCCGAGGGTCGTAAAATTTCTTGTTTGCAAAAAGGGATTAACTTTATACCCTCTAATTCTGAGTTACTGAAAGAAAATTTAACTAAATTTTCAAATATTTAATGATTTTCAAAATTTTCAATAATTTTCTACTGCAAAACTTCAATAAAATTTTTCGAATAAAATTAATCAATAAAAAATACAATTTTATATATTTTATTTAAGTAAATAATTTTCCTTACTTCCATTTTTATTTATTAATTAATAATAATCGTATTTAAAATTTTTTAAATACTACTTTTTTATTTTGTTGTTTAATTTATTATTATTAGGTATTATTGAAATTACAGAATTTTTAATTTTCAAATATGAATTTTTAAATAATTTCACATTCAAACTTTTGAAAATTCAATTAATAACTAATTTACGAATTAATTATTCATGCTTATTAATTTCAAAAATTTTAATAAACTTCTTCGCAAGAATTCAATTATTTTTTTAAATAGTAAAATCTTTGCAAAAATTCAATTATATTCAAAAAAATTTCACGAAAGAATTCAATTTTTTTTCTTAATTCGTTATAAAATCTTTGAAATAATTCAATTATTTTCTAAAAAATTTCAGGAAAGAATTAAATTTTTTCTTAATTTGTTATAAAATTTTTCAAAAGAATTCAATTATTTTCTAAAATTTTAATAAATCTTACAAAATTATTATTAAATATTATTAGGTAAAGAAACTTCATTACTTTCAAAAAATTCAAAGAAATTCTTGAAAAACAATTTAATTAGAATTTAAAATTTTTTTTTACAAAATTCTTCGCGAGAATTCAATTATTTTTCTAAATAATAGAATTTTTGCAAGGAATTGAATTATTATAAAATTTTTTGATAAAATTCATTGCAAAAATTCGATGATTTTCAAAACATTAATTTTAAAATTGAAAATATTTAAAATGAAAAATTATTAAAAAAGTTAAGAAACAAAGAAGCAAACAACAATACTAACTACGAAATTAAAAAAAAAATTGAATAGTCAATAAAAAATAAATGTTTACATGAAATTTAAATTATAATTTTACTTCTATTTCATTTATTAATTAATAATAATCATACTTGCAATTTTTTAATTCTCACTTTTTATTTTTAATTTTTACATAAGTTTCGTATTTTTTAATAATTTCATTTTAAAAATTTGCTTTTTTTTATAAAATAAATATTTATTAGGAAATACTACTATTATTTTTTTTGAAATAAAATTAGAAATTTAATTTTCTAGTAAAACAAAGCAATTTCAAAACAAGTTCTCTAACAATTCAAGGAAGGATAAGAGGGGGAAAAGACTCGATTTTAATTTTGTACGTTCATTGTCATTGAGGAAAAGAAAGACAAGGAAAGAAAATATCAAATACTCTAACAATACCGAGGGTCATAAAATTTCTTGTTTACAAAAAGGGTTTAAGTTTTTCTTTCAATTCAAAATTATTGAAAAGTCCACAAAATAATTTAATATTTACTATTTAAAATTTTTCGAAAATTTTCTGTAATTTTCTATTAAAAAATTTAAAAAAAAAACTATTTAAATACTCAATAAAAAATAAAATAAAATTTTACATGAGAATTTAATAATTATTTTTACTTATTTCTATTTTCGTTAATTAATTAACTTTAATAATTTTATTAATATTAATAATTAATAATGTTTAAATATTTTTAATTATTTAAACTAAATAAAAGTACAAAATAAAAGTTAAAATATATTTTTAATACATTTACTAATTTTTTTCTGAAATAAATATTTATTTATAAAAAATATTAAATGAAAAAATTAAATATTCTCGAAAATGTATTATTTATTATAAAATATTATTGATTTATTATATTCTCAATTTTGAAATTTAAATTTCTCGTTAAACACCAACTTCAAAACTAATTCTCTAACAATGCCTAAGGTCATAAACTTTCTTGTTTACAATAAGGAATTAACGTTTCTCTCTGCTTCTGAATTATTGAAAAGTCCTCAACTTTTATTAAAAATAATAATTTCTAAAATTTTTATTTAAAAAAAAAAAATTTTTTTGAAAAATAGAAAATATAAATTTGAAAAATTGTGTAAATTTTAACATAAAAATTAGTAGAAATTTTAATATTTTCCTTGTTTGCATTTTATTTTTGAACTTTTACTTTCTTCTAGTTGTAATTCTTTCGATTTTGGATTTTTTTCTTTTCTTTTTATTAGCGAAAGAAAATAATTATCTAAATTTATAAAAGTACTTTTCAATTTTTAGAACAATGTGTTGAAATTTTGTATGAAAAATGTATTAAAAATTCTAATTTTTAAATGAACTTCAACAAAAAAATTAAAAATTATAAATTTTATTTCTATTTTTAATATTTTTTAAGTTCAATTCGTCACACGTGGTGCCAGGAAAATTTTTCTTTTTCTCGAAAACGTTTTATCAAGAAAAAAGAAATTCATTCAAAATATCGAAAATTAATTTAAAATTTAAATTTTGCCCGAAAGTTACAAAAATTCTAATTTTTATTACCTATTATATTTTAAAATAATAAGTTTGAAAAACGATTTTTAGATTTAAATAAAACATTTTTCCGAGTGTACAAAATTTTAATATTGATATTTTTTTGACTTACCCTTTTAAATTTTGTATTTCCTCTTGTTATCGTCTAAATATCACTTGAGAAATCACTTCAAATCATTTTAACTTTCAAAAAACCGCTTACATATTTTGCTATCGTTCTGTCTAATAAAATAAAAATTTTAAACAATTTGTTAAAAATTCCTAGCTCGACTCATGCTATTCTCAATAATTTTTATCAAAACAAAAAATAATTTTTATCAAAAAATTGTTATCGAATAACATTTTAATCTAATGAAAGCTGAGCGCCTAATGAGGTTTCGAAGATTTCCGGGCAAGTCCGGTGTCCTATCATTTTCTGTCTCCATTTCTCTTCCGATCGCTCACGAAGGACTTCGGTGTCTCGACCCGGCACGAACCAACAGCGCAGATTACAAAAAAAAATTATTTCAATTTTATTTGAATTGTAAATTTTATTATATTATTATTAATAATTATTATTCGTGTTGCATTCGAGAATCCCTTTTTTCATAAAAGAAAAAAGACAGAACTTACGTATTTATTTCTTTCCCACGAGTTTCTCGTTTTTTCGATTAATTTTAATCGATTTCCATTTCGAATGCATCACTAATTGAATATATTCTTGATTTATTCAATTTCTTACTATATAATTATTTTGGAATCCAATTATAATCGAATTAGCTAGTTATTTTGGAATATTTAATTTTTTATAAAAATATAATTTTTTTTGAAATTCAATTATAATTGAATCAGACAATTGTTTTGAAATTCAATTATAATTGAATCAGATAATTATTTTGGAATTGAATTAAAAATGAAAATTAATAAAAAATGTCTTTAAGTTATAATTATAAAATTATTAATTCTTGAGAAGTTGAAAATTAAATATTAATAAAAACAATACTTAAAATCAATTGCAATTGAATAATTTAATTACATTAAAATTATTGCCGAATCTAAAATAATGGAATATATTTTATTTTTTTATTTTATTATTATTTGCTGTTTATATTATTTTTTCTATTTATTTTCTATTTTAAAAATACAATTTTAATAATTAATAATAATAATTATTATTTAATTAATACTAAATTGAAAGTATTCAAAAAGCAATTGAAATTCCAAAATAAATAAAATTCGAATAGACTGAATAACAATGAAAATAGAAAAAAAAATTTTTTTTTAAATAAATGAATGGAAAAAAATTGGAAAGCAAAATAAATTTTCTTATTAACACAAAAAAATGGCACTCACCCTCAACGATATCCTTTGCCTTTGGGCCACATGTGACTTGTACTCTCGGTTGTGCTCTGCCTCGTCTCCAGTATTAGATTGCCTTCGCTGAAATAAAAATTCAAGTAAATTTCAAGAGTATGACTAATCTTTAAGGAGAAAAATCGCTTTAACTTTCATCGTCTATCAGAACGGAACGGGCGGACACTTGAATAATATGTAACGTTATAAGGGAAAAGATATCAAAATTAATTCATCTTTTTTCTTCAGCACTCTCCTTTTTTTTTCTTAAACTACAAATAATTGGACGACACGTGACTTGCTTTCAGAATTTCTTAATTACTGACTTCGCAATCGATAATTAATTTTAAAAAAGTAGCTTTCAAACTAAAAAAAAGTAGTAAAAAAGTGGCTATCGAAAAATTTAACTTGACGGTAAAAAAAAACACATTTTAGGCACTTCGCAAAACTGACAAAAATTCCATTTTATATTTTATTTTCCTGACTTTTTCCTAATTTTCATCAAAAACATATTTACTTCTTTCTTAACCTACTGCTAATAAATTGAATTCCTGCAACGAATTTTATTATTCATGAAAAAGTTTAAATATTTATAAAAATAATTTAATTTTTGCGAAGAATTTAATAAAATTTTTTAAATATTTGATTTTTTACGACTAATTTTATGCAAATTCTAATTTAAATAATTGAATTCCTGAGAAATTTTTATTATTTATGAAAAGAATTGAATTCTTGCGAAGATTTAAAAAAAAAAAAATTTCAATAATTTTCCATTAAAATTTTTCACAATAATAATTGAATGTCTGTGTGGTAATTTATTAAATTTTTTTTTGAAAATAATTGAATTCCTAAAAAACATTTTATTATTTATGAAAATAATTGAATTCTTGCGAACGATTTTATTAGAATTTTTTTAAATAATTGAATTTCTAGAAGAAATTTATTACTTTTAAAAATAATTGAATTCTTATGATAAATATTGTTATTTATGAAAATAATTGAATTTCACAAAGAATTATATTAAAATGCCTCAAAATAATTGAATTTTCGAGAATAATTTTTTTTATTTATCGACATAATTGAATTTTTGGGAAGAATTTTATTAAAATCTAAAAGAATAATTGAATTATTTCAAAAAAATGTAATTAAAACTGTATTTAAAATAATTGATTGTTTTCGAAATAAATAATTAATATTTTTGAGAAATTAAAATCTAATTTTTAAGAATAATTACTTTTTTTGATCAATATTCCTGTAAAATTGTATTAAACATAATTGAAATCCTGCGATGAATTTTATCATTTATGAAAATAATTGAAAAGATGCTAAGAATTTTATTAAAATTTTCAAAAATAATTGAATTTCTGAGAAGAATTTTATTATTTATGAAAATAATTGAATTATCGCGAAAAATTATATTTAAAATGGTTAAAAAGAATTGAATTTTTGTGAACCATTTTGTAACTTTTGAAAATGATTGAATTCTTCATAAGAATTTTATAAACATTGTTTTAAATAATTAATTTTTTCGAAATATAATAAATATTATGAAAATTTTATTTGAAATAATTGAATTCTTGTGGAAAATTTTATTTGTGAAAATAATTGAATTTTTCTATTAATTACTTTAAAATAGTATTAAAAATAATTGAAATTCTTTGATGAATTTTATTATTTATAAAAATAATTGAATTTTTGCTTAGCATTTTATTAAAAAATTTCTAAAAAATTGAATTTCCATGAAAAATGTTATTATTAGTAAAAGTATTTGAATTATTGTGAAGAATTGTATTTTTTGAAAATACTATTCTAAATTAATTGAATTTCTGTGAAAATGTTATTATTTATGAAAACAATTGAATTTTATAATTTTTTTAAAATAATTGAATTCTTTTGCGAAATTTTTTGAAAATATTAGATATTGAATATTTGATACAGAAATAAATATTTAATTCAAATAAATAAAGTATAAATAAATAGTAAATAAATATTTAAACCGTTAATTTCAGTATACATAATTTTTTATTTCATAAAGAGACAAGTTATCGTTTATTTGAATAAATCAAATCTTTTTCATACTCCAATTATAATAATTAATTACATTACTTAAGAAGTAATTAAACTGTCAAAATCCAATTTTAGATTGTAGATCTCTTGCCACGACAAAATAGAATTTTTTTTTATTTTTTCTCTACTTTGCACTTTCTTTTTTTGATAGTTGAATAAAAATTTCCAACACTGAATAAAAGGAGAAAAAAAGAGTTGAAGTAATTGTCGATTGAAATACCTCTTTTTTTCCGTGCCTAAAAGCCCAACGTGATTCTATTTTCGCCGTTGACCTTATTGCAGACTGAAATAGGCGCGCTATGCATTCGCACAAGTTACCGGAGCATAAGTTTACCAGATGCTGAGAATGGATCTTTCATTTCTTAAGAAGTAATGTGGAAAGTGCGCTTTAAAAAGGAGGAAAAAAAAGTAATCGAAGTTTCTCGCAATATCTACAAATTCTATTTTATGTCTCGAGAACATGGAATACTAAATGGAAAAAGAATTTCAATTTAGTGGCACTATAAGGCCATAAAGGAAAAATGTTTCCTAATGGAATCGCGAATTAGTTTATTTCTATTTACTGCGTGTTTAATTATTCGCAGAAATGAATTTCAAATTCAACGCGAAATATTTACGTTAAGTTAAAGTATTTAAATATTAAATTCAAAATTATTTTCATCATTTCAAGTTAATTATTATTTTCCAGAATTTTTAACTAAAAATCATCTTTAAATGAATCATTTTTAATTTTTTTAACTAACAATTTTAAGTTTTTATTTTCTAAAAGTTCTCTGAACAAAATAACAAAAAAAATAAATTAAATACGAAAAAAAATTAACTTCAAAAAAAGAGAAGAACTTAATTAAACACAAAAAATTAAAAATAAAAGTAAATTTCACTACGAAAAATATTTAATCAACAGTAAATTAATTATAGAAGAAAAATTAAATATAAAAAAAATAATAATATACTAAAAATAGAAGAAGGTAAATTTAATTAAAATGTAAAAGAAAAAAAAAAAGAATCAATGGCACAGAAGTAAAGTCAGTTGAGAGAATGAATATTGTAAAATTATTGAAATAAACTCTCGATTATCTCGAGCCGGTTATTGCGAAGAATGCAGTTAAGAGAAATATTATGATAGGAAGGATGACTGTAATGATTTTCCAGTCTGACCTCATCTTCGGGGTTTACGAGCATTCCAGCTACTGGTGTTAGGGACCTTTGAACACTTGGGTAAAATGTATAACGCTCAAGATGAATTCCGCGAGATTTATCACTTGTCTGTTTTATTTCGACAGACTGCAAACAAACGTTTATTTTTTCGCCATCACTTTTTTACTAAATTTTATAGCTTTCTCTCTCTCTCTCTCTCTCTCTCTCTCTCTCTCTCTCTCTCTCTCTCTCTTTCTTTCTTTCTTTTTTTCTCTTTCTTTTTTCTTTCCCTGACTTTTCCAGGTTTTCCAGGTTAAAAAACGGAATTTTTCCAGGTTTTTAAAACTATATTTATTTTTACCAAATTAAATAACTAATAAATTTTTATAAATAAATATATAATCAAGATTATTTTTCCAACGGAATTAAAATTTTCAAAATATTCAAATTCAAATCTTTATAAAACCATGAAGAAATCGAGCAATCCGAGTCTTCGACTCGGAATGATCGATTTCTTCATGTTTTATAATAAATTAAAGATGACAGAATCATTATTTTATACCTATTAATAAGAATATAATTACTGTAAATTTTTCAAAATTATTTTCATCATTTCAATTCAATTATTATTTCCTAGAATTTCCAAATAAATTCTTCTTTAAAGCAATTATTTTTAATAATTTTTCAAAAAGTTCTTTGAGAATTTTCAAATCCATTTGTTTACAATTTAATTTTACGAAATTTTGATTATTCGGAAATTCTTCAATTAAATAATATATATATTAGAAAATAAACACTTCAAATAATAAAATTAAAAAAAAATTAGTTCTATAAAATTAATAATTAAAATTATGAAACCTTTTGAAAATGTAACTATTTCTAAAAATTCACGCTATAAGGCTTTTAATATTCAATTATTATATAAAATTTTGACTGAAATTCTTTTTTTAAATCAAATTATTATTAGAAAATTCTACGAGACTTTAATTATTTAAATACGAAAATAAATAATATTTATTAATGTTTCTCAAAAAATTGAATTTTAATAAAGAATTTTATTAAAAAAATTTTTTAATATTAAATTCTTTCCACGAATTTTAAAGCTACTTTTAAGAATAATTTCATTTTTCTATAAATTCGATTAAAATTGTATTAAAAATAATTGAATCCTGTAAAAAATTTGATTTTTCTTAAATACTTGAATTATTGCAAATAAATTTGTAAAAAAATTTGTAAAGAATTGAATTTCTGTAAAATTTTTATTATTTATGACAGTTTATGAAAATAATTAAACGTTAGCGTAGAATTTTAATACTTTTGAAAATAATTGAATTTCTGCAATCATTTGTAACTTCTCCAAAATTCAATTTGTTTTAGTGTTTTTAACTAAAATTCTTCTACAAATCCATTATTTTTAATAACTATAGTTAAATATATATTAAAAAGTTTAACTAATTTCAACAGAATTGAAATTTTTTGCAAATTCTATTTTTAATAATTGAATTCTTGTGAAATTTTTATTATTTTAGAAAATAATTGAATATTCGTGTAGAAAAAACTATTGAATTAAGAAAAATTTTTGAAAATAATTGAAATTTTGCCATGATTTTCATTAAAATCTTTGAAAATAATTGAATTCTTGTGATGAATGCTACTATTTTTGAAAATAATTGAACTTTTGCCAAGAAATTATTGAAATTTGTGAATATTATTGAATTTCTAAACAGAATTTTATTATTTATAAAGATATAATTAAAATTTTTTCGAGAATTTACAAAATTTTTTGAAACAGAATTGAATTTCTGCAATCAACTGTAACTTCTCTAAAATTCAATTTTTTCGAGTGTTTTAAACTAAAATTTTTCTATAAATCCATATTATTTTTAATAATTAATTTAATATATTTTAAAAAATTTAATTAATTTCAGAAGAATTTGAATTATTAAAATTTTTCAAAAATTTAAGTTCTTTAAAATTTCTAATGAAATTTATTGAAAATTAAAATTTTATAAAATTTCAAATTAAATCCCTTTCAAGTTCATTTATTTATGAATATTGTAAACGCAACTCTTTTAAAATTCGATTAATTTTGAAATATTGAAGACAAATTATTTATTAAATAATTTTTGAGTTATAATTTTATTGAGTTTAGAGAGAAAATTTTCCAAATGATTTCGATTTTAATTTTGATCAAAAAAAGAAAAACTCACCTCAAGGGTTGTAAGAGATTCGAGAGATAGGGGACGAGTGTGAGGCACTTCTCCAGGAAAAACACTGTCATGCGAAACTGAAAGTTGTCCGGCTCCTCCTCGAAATTTCGTGAAGGAATCATCCTCACCATTTCTTCTGAGAAAGACACTGAAAACGTCAATTTACAACATTTTAGTATTTATTCACTATTTTCTACTCGAGCAATATGTTCATTCCGACTATTCACAAGCAAAGTACAGAAAAAATTCGATACTGATTATTTTTCTTTTGGAATTACAGTCTTTTATTTAAATTCAAAAATATTCAATTAAAATACGAAAATTATCTTTAATATTATTACAATATTACAATATTTTTAAAAGCTTTTATTCTTACCGTACTTTTTAATTTTTTATTCTTATAGTACTTTTTAATATTTTCTATTGTCAAATTTTTTCAATATTTTTTTGTTCCAATAACATTCACTATTTTCTATTGTTAGAATTTTTTCATTTTTTTTCATACAGTAATTTTTAATATTTTCTATTGTTACAATATTTTTTTTTTTTTTTTTTATATGAAAAATGTTTTGAAGTGAAAAAAGTTGTTATTTTTTTCTTTTTTTTTATTTGAAAAAATTTCTATTTTTGTTTAAGTATCTAAAAACTATAAGCAACTTTTTGAATTTAATTTCAAAAGACAGTAAAACCAAGTACACAATTTACCAACTAGACGAATTAAAATACCAAAGAAAAAAATACACTTTAATTGACGAAATAAAACGAGTAAAAAAATAAAAAGCAACTTTTACACAAACACGTGAACTCGAAAAGACAGCACCAAAAGTACCATTTAAATCAAGGGACATTAAAATATTTATAATTGTAAGAAGAAAAATTTACCAGCAATAATGCAATAATGAATAATGAAAAAAAGCTTTCACTGAGACTAATTAGCCTTTACATTAACATTCTCGGATTTCATAGCCTCGCTTATATGGACACGATTTCACTATACATACATATAAATATATAAAATGGTATAATACACAAAAATGACGACGTTAAAAATTGAAATATCGTTCATTAAAAGAAAAAAAAATTCTTTTTTTGAATGAGATTTATATGTATATATTTACTGTTTGAAAGTATTCTCAGACTTCAATGACAAGACTATTCCGTATTTATCTGGCCAGCCAATTTGTTCTATACTGAAAGAAAATTTTGAATAATGATCTCTAAACACTCGTTAATTATTATATAAATGTAAGGAGGAGTAAAAGCGATTTTTTCTTCAGGGACGAAAAGCGAAATTTATTTTTTGTCGTTCATTATTTTTTTGATAAAAATTCTAGAAAAAAAACTCAAAAGCTCTCGCGCTCAAAAAGTGTTTATTTCTTTTTCGCAAAAATTTATTTATCTCTTCGATTTCTTTTTTTTTAATTAAAATTATTTAACACTACTATTTACTTTCTTTTTTTAAGTAAAATTATTTTCTTCTCCTACTTATTTTCTTCTTTCTAACTAAAATTATTTCCCTCTCCTATTTGTTTTCTTCTTTTAATTAAAATATTAATAATAATTATTTTTCGACATCAATTAAAATTTTTAACAATTTTAAAATCAATCAATATTTTTAAATACTGTAACTTTTTCTAGAATTTTAAACTAAAATTCATCTTTAAATCAATTATTTTTAATAATTTTTTAAAGAGTATGAAAAATTCAGATTTTCAAAAATTTTTAAGTTGAAACATTTTCGAAATTCAATTATTTCTAAATATTCACGCTATAATGCTTTTAATGCTCAACTAAAATCTAAAATTTTAAATGAACTTCATGTTTAAATTAATTTTTATTAGAAAATTCTACGAGAATTGAATTATTTAAATACGAAAATAAACAATTTATTGAATAATTGAATGTTTCTTAAAATTCAATTCCCATAAAGAATCGTTATCAATGAATTATCAAATAATTGAATTCTCTCAACGAATTTTCATAAAATTTTTAAGAATAATTACAGTTTTTGAGGAATTTGATACAAATTTTATTAAAAATAATTTATTTATAAATTTATTATTATAAATTAATTTATAAAAATAATTGAATTCCTAAAAAGAATTTTATTATTTAGGAAAATATTTAAATTCTTCTAAGACAATTTAATTTAAATAATTAAATTTCCGTGAGAAATTAAAATTATTTTTAAAAATAATTGAATTCTTTCAAAGAATTTAAAAAAAAAATTTTAAATAAAGAATTCTTTTGAAAACTGTTATTAAAATAGCAGAAATTGAAAATAATTAAATTTTCAATTTCTGAATGTAATTGAACTAACGTAAGAAATTTAATTTTTGTGAAAATAATTGAATTCTCGCTAAAAATTTTATTTATTTGTAAAAATAATTGAACTCTTGAGAAGATTTTTATAAAAATTCCTAAATAATTGAATTCTTTTGAACAATTTTATAAAAATTCCTGAATAATTGAATTCTTTTGAAAAATTTTATTAAAATAGTAGAAATTGAATATAATTAAATTTTGAATTTCTGAAAAGAATTGAATTCTCGTGAAAAATTTCATTTTGTGAAAAGAATTGAATTCCCTTAAAAAATGTTATATATTTGAGAAAATAATTATTTAATTCTTGAGAAGATTTTTATAAAAATTTTAAAATAATTGAATTCTTTTGGAACATTTTATTAAAATAGTAAAAATTGAAAATAATTAAATTTTGAATTTCTTAAATAATTAAATTAACGTAAAAAATTTAATTTTTGTGAAAATAATTGAATTCCCCAAAAAAATTCTATTTATTTGTAAAAATAATTGAATTCTTAAGAAGATTTTTATAAAAATTCCTAAATAATTGAATTCTTTTGAACAATTTTATAAAAATTCCTGAATAATTGAATTCTTTTGAAAAATTTTATTAAAACAGTAGAAATTGAATATAATTAAATTTTGAATTTCTGAAAATAATTATTGAATTCTCGTGAAAAATTTCATTTTGTGAAAGGAATTGAATTCCCGTGAAAATTTTTATTTATTTGTAAAAATAATTAAATTCTTCAAAAGATTTTTATGAAAATTTTTAAATAATTGAATTCTTTTGGAACATTTTATTAAAATAATAGAAATTGAAAGTATTTCTGAAAATAATTGAATTCTAGATAGATAAGTTTTTATAAACATTTTTAAATAGTTGAATTCTTTTGAAAAATTTTATTAAAATAATAGAAATTGAAAGTATTTCTGAAAATAATTGAATTCTAGATAGATAAGTTTTTATAAACATTTTTAAATAGTTGAATTCTTTTAAAAAATTTTATTAAAATAGTAGAAATGGAAATATTTCTGAAAATAATTAAATGCCCGAGAAAAATTTTATTTATTTGTAAAAATAATTGAATTTTTGAGAAGACTTTTATAAAAATTCCTAAATAATTGAATTTCTTTGAAAAATTTTATTCAATTTATACTAAAAAAAAATAAAAAAAAGAAACAATAACTGTGAACTTTAAAAAATAAATTCTCAGCATGAAATGAAGTCATAATTATTATAATATAAAAGAAAAACAAATTTCGCGAAGCAATTGAAGAAGAATTGCAAAAGAAGTTAATGACTCTGTAACATTTTTCATTTTTAATCTAAAATTAAAGACCCCTATATATAATTACAATGAGTCGAGGATTTTTCTTTTTTTTAAAACCACAGTATATATATAAATGGTTTAAAAATGTTAATTGTTTGTTCTCGACTACATTGTATCGCATTTTATAATATACACTACAATGTGAAGAAAAAAAAACATCAAATGTCTTTACCTTTCTCTGTCGCAGGAATCCGTGAGAAGTTCACTAGCACTTCGACTACGTGCTTCTTCTGTTCGCCCTCCAGGATGTCGCAAAGTGACTTCCTCACGATCGCGAGCCAGTAAATCACCATCAGTTAGGCCGGAAGTGAGACGAGAATCCGCCGCTCCACGGCTTTTTCTCCTAAATATCCTTCGTAGTCCTCGCAAAGGATGAAATCGTCTCTTCTTTGGTTCTATAAAAAGAAAGAAATAATAATTTAATAAATAACAGTAGTAATTATTTACTATTATAAAATTACCACTAGCGAGGAAGTCAATGGCGCCATCTGTCAATTAATTCCAACGCGGGCTTTTTCAAATTTTAAAACTTATTTTTTCGTTTTTAAACAAATTAATTTAATAATAATAATAATTTAATAATAGTATTATTATTATTAAATTATAACAAGAAATAGTAATAAATACAATTCTAAAAATAGTAATTATTTGCTGTCATAAAATTACCACTAGCGAGAAAGTTAATAGCGCCCTCTGACAATTAATTCCAACGCGGGCTTTTTCAAATCTTAAAATTTACATTTTTGTTTTTTAGAAACTAATTTCATAAACAGGGTTACCACAAACATTTAATTTTGTTTTTCCCTGATTTACTGACAAAATTTTGACTTTTTCCCTGATCCTAAAGAATATTTTGATTCACTAAGAATTATTACATACTTAAAAAATTTTCAAAAATTTTTAAGAATTTCAAGAATTTTTAACTAAAATTCTTCTTTAAATCAATTATTTTTAATCATTTCTGAAAAAGTTCTATTTGAGAATTTTTAAATCAATTTGTTTACAATTCAATTTTATGTAAAATTTCTATGAATTAGAAATTCTTCAATTAAATATACATTAGAAAATAAAAACTTGAAATAATTTTAAAATATTTCGATTAACCTTTTTGAAAAAAATTTGTTCCATAGAATTTTTAATTAAATATATGAAAAATTAAGATTATCAAAGATTTTAATTTAAAACCTTTACATAATTCAATTATTTATAAAAATTGCAATTAATGTGTAGTATAACTTCTCCAAAATTCAATTATTATCTAAAACTTTAACTGAAATTGATTTTTAAATCAATTTCTATTAGAAAAGTACAAATGTTTTTCAAAACTGAATTCTTATACATAATTTTATTAACAAATTTTCAAATAATTGAATTATTTCGACGAATTTTAATAAAATTTTTAAGAATAATTACATTTTTGGAGGAATTTGATTAAAATTGAATTAAAAATAATTGAAATTCTGCAATCAGTTTTATTATTTATGAAATTAATTGAATTATTGAGAAAAATTTTATAAAAATTCCTAAATAATTGAATTCTTTTGAAAAATTTTATTAAAATAGTAGAAATTGAATATAATTAAATTTTGAATTTCTGAAAATAATTATTTAATTCTCGTGAAAAATTTCATTTTGTGAAAAGAATTAAATTCCCGTAAAAAATTTTATATATTTGTAAAAATAATTGAATTTTTGGAGAAGATTTTTATAAAAATTTTTAAATAATTGAATTCTTTGGAAAATTTTATTGAAATAGTAGAAATTGAAAGTATTTGAATTTTGAAATATTTCTGAAAATAGTTAAATTCCCGTGATAAATTTTATTTATTTGTCAAAATAACTGAATTCTTGAGGAAGAATTTTAAAGAATTGAATTCTTTTGAAAAATTTTATTAAAATAGTAGATGTTGAAAATCATTAAATTGAGTCTGAAAATATAATTCAAAATTTTACAAAAAGTTTCAAACAGTTGATTTTTTTACGAAAAAATGTATGCAAATTTTATTTTTAATAATTGAATTCTTGTGAAATTTTTATTATTTTACAAAATAATTGAAATTTTTGCATGAATTTTATTAAAATTTTTGAAAATAATTGAATTTTATTACTTTTGAAAAGAATTGAATTACGGCGAAAAATGTAATGAAAAATTTTAAAACAATTTTTTTTTGGGTGAAAATAATTGAATGTTTGTGTAGAATTTTATAAAAAATTTTGTTTAAAAATTGGATTCTTTTGGGAACATTTATTAACATAATAGAATATTGAAAACCATTAAATTAAGAAAAATTTTTGAAAATAATTTAAATTTTATTTATGATTTTTATTAAAATCTTTGAAAATAATTGAATTCTTGTGATAAATACTATTATTTATGAAAATAATGGAATTTTGAAATAAAGTTTGTTAAAATTCCTGAATATTATTGAATTTTGGAGTAGAATTTTAATATATTTATAAAGATAATGTAATTATGATATATTTATAAAGATAATATAAATAATAACGAGAATTTTTAAAAAAATTTTTTTGAAAATAATTGAATTCCTGAAAAGAATTTTGATATTTATTAAGATCGTTGAATTCTTTTAAAGAATTGCATTAAAGTTTTTAAAATTGTATCTAATTTCAAAAGAATTGAAATTAAAATTTTTTAAATAAATACTTCATTAAATGATTTATGAGTAATAAATATATGGCAGTTCTTTAATAGAATTAAGTTATTTAAAGAGAAATAAAATTATTGTCAAAAATACAAAAAATTGAAGTTTTTTTTAGAATTTGTGATAATTTCATAGTTTATAGGACAAACAAAAAGACACAAAAATTCAGAATTTTCTTATAAATTCTAAACATTTTATTGTTTCCAGTACTTTTAATAAAAATCCCTGATTTTCCCTTAATTTCCCTGATTTGTGGCAACCCTCTCTCTAAATCTGAATTTGTAGAATTCTACTAAGATATAGTAAAATTTTACTAATTTTTAAGGAAGACTTTTCTCTTTTTCAATTAGTAGAATATTACTAATTTTTATTAAAATTTTACTAATGTTTTAGTAGAATTCGACTATTAATAAAACAGTTCTAATAATTGTTAGTAGAATTCTACTAATAATTAGTAAAATTTCACTATTTGTTAGTAAAATTATTACTAAATCATTTGGTGGAAGACTTTTCGTCATTTCATTAGTAACTTTTTACTAATTCAGATTTAGAGAGCTGATGAAAATAATAATAATAATAATAATATTAATGAAATAGTAGTAGTAGAAGTAGTAGTAGTACTAGATAATAATAATTAATATTGTATATTCGTGATAAATATGATAATGGACCTAATAAATAAAGCTCGAGAAATATAAATAGCTATAGGCAAAGTAATGAATGGAAAAAAAAAGTTAATTATCTGTTATGAAAGTCTAAAAATATTCGTTCGAGACATTTGAGTCGTTGACATGTAATTCGCGAAGGAAATTGTTGTGAGTATTGAGGAATTATTTATAGAGACTTTTATGTTACATTTCGCAATAAGGCGAAAAAGATAGGAGCATGGTGGTTTTTCAATAGACGATGTAACCCAGTTTACTTAGTGTATACATAGGAATAAATGCATTGCGAGATGGAAAGGTGTTGCAGCTGGGACAAAAGGAGGGGGGAGAAGAAGAAGAGGAAAAATATACACACGCGACTGACATGATTATCCACAAAGCTTAATGCGGCGCACTGCTAACCCAGAGGCTGGCTTTTGATACCATTTACACACAGACTCCTTTTCATTCCATACTATTCTCCTAATTAAATCTCTCCTCCCCCCCTCTCTTTCTCACTATTTTTCTCCTTCTCCCTTTTTCTTTTTTCTCTTTTTCCAAGAATTTATTGTATTTTGCTTCATACTTTTCTTCTGAAAGATTTATTTTTCACAAAAAATGCTCAAATGTAAAACTATAACAAAATAGAAAGGAGGAATCATTAAAAAGATTTAATAATTTTAATTCAACTCTCATTATTTATTAATAAAAACTGATTTTAATAAGTCATATATGAAAATAATAGGCAACGAACTCGCAATATAATTTTTTATATTTTCTTCACCAAAAATACAAATATTAATGAGAAAAAAATATTAAGGACATACACTTTACTGTACTTATTTTTTAAGCTTCACCCTTTGGTCCAAAAAATTACCCTCACCACTTGTACCAAAAATCGAAAATTCTTAAAATTCAACATTTTTCTTTTATTTTAAGGCAATTAGCTTAATTATTATTGGGCTTCCTATTTAAATAAATTCTTATTAGAAAGTACTACGAAAGTTCAATTATTTAAATAAAAAAATAAATAATTTATTGAATAATATCAAATATTTCTTAAAATTGAATTTTTAAAAATAAATTTTTTAAACAAATTTTGCCAATATTGGATTTTTTTCGATGGATTCAAATAAAATTTTTAATATTGCAAATAATTGCATTTTCGAGGAATTCATCAAAAATTGTATTTTTTCAAATAATTGAATTCCTGCGAAAAATTTTATTTTATGTGAAAATGACTGAATTCCCGTGAAAATTTTTATTTATTTGTAAAAATAATTGAATTCATGAGAAGAATTTAAAAAAAAAAGTTTTTTAAATAAAGAATTCTTTTGAAAAATGTTATTAAAATAGCAAGAATTGAAAATAATTGAATTTTGAAAAATTTCTGAAAATAATTGAATTCCCGTGAAAATTTACTTCTTTGCAAAAATAATTGAATTCTTGCTAAGAATTTTAAATAATTGAATTCTTTTAGTTAATTTTATTAAAACAGTAGAAATAGAGAATAATTGAATTTCGTAAATTTTCTTTGAAAATAATTAAATTCTTTCAAAGAATTATACATTAAAATTTTTGAGAATAAGTAATTGTTCTATTTCAACTATTAGTAAATTGAAAGTAGTGCAAATTTTTTCTATTCTTAATTTTTACATGAATGAAAAAGGAAATTTGTTATAAACAAATTTTTTCTATCAATAATGAAAAAAAAAATGAAATTACTACGCTAAAGATATAATTTAATCTAAAAATGAGGCAATTGAATTATTGTATTTGATAATGAAAATGTTATGTTGTGATAATTTATCAGTTCTGAATAATAATAACCCACGGAAGCAATGATTAGTCATTAAAGGAAAAAAATACCATTGACAATGATAATTTTGATCTTTACGATATGATACAATTAATCGGAGAGTAATCACAAGATACTTTAATAAAGTTCTACTCACACGACTCAAATTTATTTTCATAATTTAAAAAAAGTTTTTTTTCCAATATTTTAAAAATAAAAAATTATTTATGGGGCTTTCAAAGTTCTTCGAATATTTTTTATCTAAAAATAAAAAATATTTAGTACTCTCT